ATTTCCTGGCTGTATTTTTCCCCTAGGTCAAGTTTAACAAGGCCCTTGCTGATCACTCCATGGCCCAGACACCACGTCTCATTGATGGAATTGTGCTCACCAAATTTGATACCATCGATGACAAGGTACGATGGCCATTCACTTCATACCCGGAGATTGCTCATTTTTTCTCTCCCCCTTGAAGGCTTCTGTTTAATGTCTTTTTAAATGACCCCATGTGGATCCTCTCCTTGCTGAGACCAAACAGCGGGGGAGATATTGAGTAACCGTGTCCGACCTCAACAGGGCATATTCTTTTGATGCATCAGTCAGATACCTGCACCCCTGAGAGTCCTCTCACATGGCCTTTTCTTTAGATATACTTTCAAGTAGATTAACAACTTCATGTTCCACTTTGGGGTGGGTGGTGACTGCTGGATAATATCACTATATTGCACCGGGGCAAGTGGAATCTTTATTGTAGATCTGAATATTTGGAAGTCTCAACTGAAGCTATTCCAATTGCTCCCCAGCACAGATGGCTTTAGAAGTGCTGTAACAAGCAAGACACAAAACGCCTACCAGGGAATTCTATTACAGATCAGTACTAAAAACCAAAACAAACTCCAAAACTTCTATGGCAAATTAAAGCTGCTCTAAATCTGTGCAAGGGAAAACTGCCTTAGCTCAGCACAATTCATAGCAATAAAACCTCTTGCATTCTCAAATGTCCTATTGATGACAGCAGTTCAACTGTACAGCCTGTGGAGGAGGATGGCAGCATATTCCTGAAAAGGTGCTGGTCTCAGAGGGTGCCCATGGCGTGTTTGTTTCTCTTTTTTTTTTTCCTGGACTGGTTGGGTATAAAAACCTTCACTGGCTCAAAAGATTTACACCAGTTCCAGCTAGTTTTACCTTGCAGCAGGGGGTTTGGAAAGGCAAAGTGGCATTGTTCTGCCAGGATGTGCAGAGGACAGTTGCTGGAGAGATGTTTTAGCCCTCTGAACTTTGAGGTTGCTGACCTTAGCAAACCATGTCCGGTCTTTTCTGCTCTTGATTCTGACCATTGAGTATTAGTGCCCGGGCTGGACTTCACAAACATGGCCCAGCTGCTGCTTGTAGCTGGGAACTAAGAGCCTTGCTTCAGTTTTCACTGCTACAGTTCCATTGAAAAGATGGTGGGCAAGGCAGGGGCTGGTTCATTTTATGCTGAGCCATCCACATCTCTAATTAGTTGAAAAGAAATTAAGATCGGGAATGACCTGGTTATTACTTTTGCTAGCACTTCTGACTTCACACTAGAGCTTTTAATTTCCTACTGTTAGTCCAATGGCTGGGTCAATATGAAAACTTATAGGTTAAAGCCAAAGAGGCCATTGTGACTGTCTATGACCTGCATAACAGAGGCCAGAGGACTTCTCTGAAGTAATTCCTGTTTGAATTGGAGCAGATCTTTTAGAAAAACATCTCATCTTGATTAAAAGATTTCCAGCTATGGAGTATCCACCACAAAACCGTGGTGAGTTTTCCAATGACTAATTCCCCTCACTGTTAAAAATTTACTCCTTATTTCCAGTCAATCTGTCAGCTTTCCCTTCTGGCCATTGGATTGTTTTAGACCTTTCCCTGCTAGATTAAAGACCCCATGATCAATGGTTTGTTCCCCATGTAGGTACTTGATCGCAGTCTCTGTAACCATCTCTTTGTTAAGCTAGAGAGATTGGGCAGCTTGAGACATTCAGTATAAGGCAGGGGTTCTAGTCCTTTAATTGCTCTTCTTGTGGCTCTACTCTGCACCTTCACCAATTTATCAACATCCTCTTTGAACTGTGGACACCAACACTGAGCACAGTAACTTGACTCTTGCCCTGGTGCATACTGGGCAGTCCGGGGGTGAAGCCTGCACAACTGCTACCAATTCTGAGGCTGGTGAAGCAGTTCCCAAGGCTGCTGAAAATGAAGAATGAAGCTGCTTCCCTGAGTTACACCAGGATGTGCTTGAACCCTTCCTGGTAATGTTTGAGTTCAGTGTTTTGCCCTGCTCCGCTGAAGTTTCAGGTGGCTTGATCAGTCTGTTTTCTAGAAACACCCTGTGTTCTTACAGAGCCTGATCACAGCATTTAGTTCTGACAGGAGATGATGCAGAGCCACACTAGCAACAAGCCTGACTTCCTGCAGGGGTGCCTAGCCATCACTGCACCCCCTTTCATGGTGGAATCAGAGCAATGAGCTGCCCTTTCCAGGGGGATTCCATGCTGGAGTCTGTCACTGCAGCTTCCCCCTGCCCAGATTGTGGGCAAGTCAGCCATGGCTGTTATTGCATGATGCTGAATCACAGACATGAGCACTGATTGTTTTGGCATGGTACCATTGCCTGGCAGGGATGATAAAAATTGTGTGTTGTCCTCTCCACCTCTGCCCCGGGTAGATTTCAGCTGCACTGTACATTTGCTTGTTACAGCTTTACTCTGGTTCCCTGCCAAAACTGTTGTGGCCCAGGAAGACAAGCAGCTGCTTTAAGGTCTGTCCCAGCAGGCTGTTTACTTCGCCCCAGGTATCCACTTTAGAACTTGTTCTCTGTTCAGTGTGAGACGATGGAAGTGCTTCCTGTACTGATTGACTGTCATCTCCCTCAGGCTTGTAAACATACTGGGAACACACTTTAAAGAAATTTCTAGGCAATGTAATCCCTCTTGACAGCAATTAGATGGTTGTACTCTAAAGCTACAAACCTGGCAACTTGGTTAGTTGACTGGCAACCATAACACTAAGCTGCCACATCTCATCTACAGTTCAAATAGTCACGTCATCTTGCATACAAATCAGATTCAGCTAGACCCTGTTCCAGTTCACCTGGCTATTCAGAGAGAAAGGACAGTGTTTCACTATGTAGTAAAACACTCCCTAAGACCTTGCCCTGCTCTGAGACACTTCCCTAGCTAGTCTATACAAACTGGCCTCCCAGTTGGACACAGGAGTCTCTTGCAGAAGAGATGGACTTTCCAGAGTTACTTTGATTTATCCTAACCCATGGGGCAGAGAGGGAGTTCAGGTTGTTTAGAACCTTAACTCAAATTCCTGGCTGTCAAATGCTTAAGTTCTCTGGTCTATCAGAAGAGCTCTTCCAACTTGCTGTAACACTAATGGGAATTGAACATGCCCAGAGTACAGGCTTCTGCTCTAGCCAGTCACACACTGATGGTTTTGTTAGGAGTGGGTTGTACATTCAGGCAGAGTCCTGCTCAGTAGATCTCCTCAAACCAACTAATTGATGCTCTTTCTTTCACAGGTTGGTGCTGCAATCTCCATGACTTACATCACTAGCAAGCCAATCATGTTTGTTGGTACTGGGCAAACCTACTGTGATCTGCGTAGCCTTAATGCCAAGGCTGTGGTCACCGCTCTCATGAAGGCCTAAAATCCAATTATTGCACCAAATTGCTGTTTGCAGATGTCTCAGAAGAATGTGCTTTACAGTGTGACTGACTTGTCTTTTCAGTGTAGTGCAAAACAGAATGAAGGGATAACAGAGCGAGGGGCTGCTGCATCCACTCCTTGCTTCTGTACTTCCTCATGGTTTTCACCAGTGCACACCCCTCCCTTCCCCTGCTGCGTGACTTTAACCTTGGAAGGAGGTTGCTGTCTTCAATCATGTTGCTTACTCTGATTAGCTACACTTCTTCCATATTTATTGGCTATAAAGCTTATTTTTGGGTAGCAATTGTCTCCTTCAGGTGGAGCACCTGGGCCAGATCAGCTCTGTGGCCTTCAGCCAGAGAAAGCCCTTCCCCCTGGATTCCTTCATTCTAAGTGACTCAGCCTCCACTCTTAGTAAAGGCTGAAATCAGAGCTTTGTATTGTTCATATCTTGTGAGTGATGTCTAAAACCTGCAGCACTTCAGGGCTGCTCTGCTACCAACTAAACATCTATGGACTATTTTGTTTGTTAAAGGTATTCTTAATCCTATGAGCTGATCTGGATCTTTAGACTATGCTAGACTTAGTGGGACCCAAGAGTATGAGTGTCCCAGTCCAGGGGCTGATCCTATGCTAAGCTCTAAGGCTAGCTTTGCACATTCCACAGAGCAGAAATAGATGCTGCTTAGTGACAGTGTCTACACCCTGATTAACACTTGCTGCTAGCTTTGACCATGGCAACTCACCAAAGTTGATAAACCAAAAATAGTAAGTCTAACCCCTCTGTGCTTGTCAAGCAGGGGCCCATAGGGAAGATGCTGAAGTTGCCTTAAGGTCCCTACTTCCATTGTTACTGGGACTCCTAAAGCAGGGCTGCCTAGGGCCACTACAGCTCAGAGCAAGCAGACTTTCCCCTTGGTCTGGGCTTGGAGTTACAGGCTGGAACTGTTAGTTGCTAAGAGCTGCATCTCTATCTAAGCTGCAAGGGCAGTGCCTGGATTCTGGCAAGCAAGCTGCACTGCTTTAGGGTATAGAATAGAGCTGGTTTCTGTACTGCAAGACCCCCTTCCTTCCTCAGAAGCGGTTTCCACTGACTCATGCCTCCTTGTCTCACCAGTGTTGAGGATTAAACTGATGCTACCAGAACTCTTGCCTGCTGTCCCTCTAATAACTAGCTAGGGAAAGGAAACTTTAGTGAAAGACAATGCTTGCTGCTTTCCTGCCCCCCTTCTCCCTCCTTTCTGAGTGCCTCTAGATCCTGGTCTAAAGTGCTACATTGAATAATACAAAACTCTTTAAGATGTCTTGTAGCTCTGTATTGCAGATGTGCTATAGTGCAATAAATTGAATGCTGTCTGCTGAAAGAAATACATAATTTATATAAAAATAAATTTCATAAATAAGTTGAGTGGTGTGTATATAGTTATCTTGGACAAGTTGTTTCTCTTGCTGGAGGGAGAGTGTGCCTGACCAGCCTAGGCAAGAACATAGCCTGAAATGTATAGCTCGCTAGTCCCTTTAGCCCTACTGTAAACTGAGCTAGCTCCGTGCCCCAGGTATATAGATAGCTTGCACCCTAATCAAATGAATCAAGCCAAAGCAGCTAAGTGCGAAGCAGGCTTTTAATACACCTTCAACATACAAAATACTGTACAGTGTAAAGAAAGGACTAGAAACCTAGAGCTTCAAGTAATAAAACCGGCTCAAGTTTCATTTCATTGAAATGTACAGAATACAAAAGTACAAGGCATGAAACTGCCGAGGCCGCTGCTGTTCAGATGGAGAGAAACTCTCCTTGCAAACACTGCAACCTTGAGAGACAGAGGATAGCACAGCCGCTGTGTAAACTACAAGTAGTCTTCAACAGCCAGGACCTTCCAACTGGGACTCTGAAGCCTTAGTTTCTAGCTGGTTTTAGAATGGCATGATCCCTGCTGAATCCCAGTTGCTTAAGAACCGGGCACGGAAAAGGTGAGAGTCTTCATTTTCCCTGTAAACTGACTGAGGTTCACAGACCTCTGCCGTAGGTGCCAGGGTCTTTAACTCAGATTAACCAGTAGCACAATCAGTTGAGCTGCAGGGGTAGATGCTCAGGTGCTGCACCCTGTGTAAAGTTAAAATATCCTTTCCAACAGGTCTAGGGCAGTATTTCACTCATCCTAATTAAACGGCTCACAGCACCCCCAAGTTTTGATTCTAATTTTGATCCTACCAGTACCGGTGATCAGCTGTAGCCCCTGGAAGAAGAAGAGTAGCCTATGCTCCCTCCTGTGTAAGTGTTAATTTGTGACCAAAAAGCAGTTTAAAGGCTGCTTGCACCTAATCTGTGGCCCTGGCGAACCTTCAGTGAAAGCTGCTTTCGATTCCATCCCTCCAGAGTCAGCCAGGTGAGGAACACGGATGGATGGCTGTGAAGTAGTGTCTTCAGATCCAGCACTGCTGGCATATTGCAAAGCTGCCACTACTTGTTCCTCCACGCACAAGCAGCAGCTACCCTTAGCACCTCTGGGAGAGGGATTCCCCCCTCTGGACATATGCTACCGGAGCGCTGCCCTGCAGGTTAGGCAAATGGATTATCAGTTTCGCTATGCTACTTCCTCTCTAGTTTAAGAGCTTCGTAAGTTCCATACCTTTTATTTCAGCCTGGGCTGTAGAAGAGCCATTTAACTGTCCTTCAGTGGGCAGACCTGGGGAACAGAGAAGATACCATTTAAGACATGTTATTTGGTATGGCTACAGCCAACTAGAACCCCAGGAAACAAAACCTGAAGCAGGGAACAATCCAAGGGAACTCAACATTTCCTGCTCCTGCTGTGGTAGTTTCTCCCCCCACCCCCAAGTGCAAGAGTGGGGAATGAGTAGTTTGGAAGTTGCACCTTGGAAGGGAAGAATCCACCTTACATCTCAAATAGAGACCAGAAGGGTAGTGTAGGCTGCATGAGCAGCCACCGTTCACACTGGGAGCTCACATGTAGAATTCAGAACTACAAAGGTGACCAGTAAAGGAAACTGCTTGGCTTGTGTGTCTGGTGTTTTGATGGCTAAAGGCCTGAGGTACTTTCAAACAATCTGCTTTCCACTTAGAAATGGAGGTCCTCTGTCTAGACTGCCCGCATGACTGGAGAGCTAACAGAAGCACACAGAGAGAAAGCTGAGCTGTTGGAAGGGAAAAGGGCTTGTTACAGAAGGGGGCAATACACGGCATTGTTTCTATAGGCAGAGCTCATGAGAACATAAAAGGCCATACTGGGTCAGATGAAGGGTCCATCCAGCCCAGTAACCTGTCTCACAGTGGCCAATGCCAGGTGCCCCAGAGGGAGAGAACTTAACAGGTAATGATCTAGTGATCTCTCTCATGCCATCCATCTCTACCCTCTGACAAACAGAGGCTAGGGACACCATTCCTTACCCATCCTGGCTAATAGCCATTAATGGACTTAACCTCCATGAATTTATCCAGTTCTCTTTTAAACCCTGTTATAGTCCTATCCTTCACAACCTCCTCAGGCAAGGAGTTCCACAGGTTGACAGTGTGCTGAGTGAAGAACAACTTTTTGTTTTAAACCTGCTACCCGTTAATTTCATTGGGTGGCCCCTAGTTCTTATATTATGGGAACAAGTACATAACTTTTCCCTATTCACTTTCTCCACACCACTCATGATTTTATAGACCTCTATCATATCCCCCCCCCTTAGTCTCCTCTTTTCCAAGCTGAAAAGTCCTAGCCTCTTTAATCTCTCCTCATAGGGAACCCGTTCCAAACCCCTAATCATTTTAGTTGCCCATTTCTGAACCTTTTCCAATGCCAGTATATCTTTTTTGAGATGAGGGGATCACATCTGTACACAGTATTCAAGATGTGGACATACTATGGATTTATATAAGGGCAATAAGATATTCTCCATCTTATTCTCTGTCCCTTTTTTAATGATTCCTAACATCCCGTTTGCTTTTTTAACTGCTGCTGCACACTGCGTGGATGTCTTCAGAGAATTATCCACGATGACTCCAAGATCTTTCTCCTGATTAGCCCACATCATATTGTGTGTATAGTTGGGGTTATTTTTTTCCCCAATGTGCATTACTTTACATTTACCCACATTAAATTACATTTGCCATTTTGTTGCCCAATCACTTCGTTTTGTGAGATCTTTTTGAAGTTCTTCACAGTCTGCTTTGGTCTTAACTATCTTGAGCAGTTTAGTATCATCTGCAACTTTGCAACCTCACTGTTTATCCCTTTCACCAGATCATTTATGAATAGGTTGAATAAGACTGGTGCTAGGACTGACCCTTAGGGAACACGACTAGTTACCCCTCTCCATTCTGAACATTTACCATTTATTCCTACCCTTTGTTCCCTGTCTTTTAACCAGTTCTCAATCCAAGAAAGGACCTTCCCTCTTATCCCATGACAACTTAATTTATGTAAGAGCCTTTGGTGAGGAACCTTGTCAAAGGCTTTCTGGAAATCTAAGTACACTATGTCCACTAGATCCCCCTTGTCCACATTTGTTGACCCTCTCAAAGAACTCTAATATATCAGTATGACATGATCCCCCTTTACAGAAACCATATTGACTTTTGAACAATTTATGTGTTTCTATGTGTCTGACATTTTTATTCTTTACTATTGTTTCAATTAATTTTCCTGGTACTGACATTAGACTTAACAGTCTAATTGCCAGGATCACCTCTAGAGCCCTTCTTAAATATTGGCATTACATTCGCTATCTTCCAGTCATTGGCTACAGTAGCTGATTTAAAGGACAGGTTACAAACCATAGTTAATAGTTCTGCAATTTCACATTTGTTTTCTTTCAGAACTCGTGAGTGAATGCCATCTGGTCCCGGTGACTTGTTACTGTTCAGTTTCTCAATTAATTCCAAAGCCTCCTCAGTGACACTTCAATCTGTGACAATTCCTCAGATTTGTCACCTACCACCTACAAAAGACTGCTCAGGTTTGGGAATCTCCCTAACATCCTCAGCTGTGAAGACTGAAGCAAAGAATTCATTTAGTTTCTCTGCAATGACTTTATAGCCTTTAAGTGCTCCTTTTCCACCTCGATCGTCCAGGGGCCCCACTGGTTGTTTAGCAGGCTTCCTGATTCTGATGTACTTAACACTTTATTACCTTTTGAGTTTTTGGCTAGCTGTTCTTCAACTCACTGCATCATCCCTTGCCTTGTGTACCACCCTCCCATGTCTGCTGACTTCAGGGATTCCCTGCCATTCATTCCCCCCTCCTCAGCTTTGTTCTCTTCCCCCACCATTATTTCCTGTCTCTCAGGGAAATAAGTCAGGGTGGCAACATTTTAAATTATTAGGACAACAGGCACAGCTGGTATGGGGGTGTTCTGCTGGAAGCTGGTAATGGCTGCCCCACGTGATTCTTTGATTTATAGACAACTAGAGTTATGTCACAGATATACAAACACCATGAAGTTGAGTGTCGGGCGTTGCTTTGCTCAGGCAACAAACTTCAGGGACTAACAAGTTTCTCCTCCCCACTGGAATGTTGGGAGACTCAAAACACCCTTCAACCATGCTGTTTGAGCATAAAATGGACTTGCCAGCTATCCTTCAGCAAGTCAGTTCCTTTCCCTGATAGTTCTAAAGGGTAAATGCAAAAAGCCAAAAATTTGGCCTTTTATACATCAAACCATCAGTAAGAGGCACAAGCTGGTTTATTTTAAGTCATTTGCAGGTCACTTTTAACAGCTCAAACAATCCAGCTGCAGAGTGTTCCATCCCTCATTTTACCGAAGGTGGAGAGCGGAAGGAAAAGATGACTGCTATAAACAAACCAGAGATCATGTTTGATGTGTAGGAGGTATGGTACCCAAGCAACAGTACCAATAGCAACCTACTGCAGTTCAACTTAACCAGCACTAAAGTGACACAGCTTCCCACCTGCATTACATCAGCAGAATAAATTTGGGGAGAACAAATGATTCAACGAGCAACAAAATGTGAAAAAGGCACCTAGTATGCCGAAGGAATAGATCAACTAAGAAGCAGGCACAAGACGAGTGTTCTAAAATCTTCAATAATTCAAATCTTCTGTGAACTGGGAGTAGAGAAAGGGGCAGTAATACCTGAATGAGATTCAAGGCTGAGAATGGGCAGCTTAGGCTTTACTATTATAAAAACCCCTTCAGAGCTAGCTTAGCTATCATATTTAAACACAGAAGCCCTTGTTGAAGTGGCTTGGAGAGACGAGGTGATGCATTATTCAGGACAGCCCATCACTCCATGTACCTGTTCGATCCCGTGTGGAGATCTCACTTGTCAGCCTCTCAAAGTAGTCAGGTAAATCTGTGTATTCGTTTCCATATGAAATGACTTTAATCCCTTTATCCAGCATGTTTTCACGGAGCTTCTTAAACTCATCCACATCTCCCCTCCGCACAAGCATGAAGTGTTCCAGGTCTGACTTGTGCTTCACAGCTTCTAGGAAAAGGGCCTGAAACGTGGTGTCATCAACAGTCCAGCCACAGCCCAGGAACAAGAATGATTTGTTTTCATACAGCTTCTGGATCTCCCGCTTTGAAAAGGAAAGATAAAAGTATCTTAGCAGTTCGGGCAGGTTTTATTGCAGCCATCACAATGTGCAAGTTACACACTATTTGCCTTGTACCAATTAGATAACTGTAAAGAGCCTGGCATGTAAACATCACAAAATTTAAATTAGGAACTCTAACAATAACTGAACTAGTCCATGGCAACTCATCCATTCATCCGAAACAGATTCACCCTAAACTCCCTATCTTCTAAGTACAGCCTACCTTCTTTGTGCCCAGCTGTATACATTTAGCCATATTAAAACTGCTTGCACCCATTTTACCAAGTGCTCCAGATTGCTCTGTGTTGGTGACCTGTCCTCTTATTGACTAATCCCCTAATTTGTGTGTCACCAATAAAAATGTTACTAATGTAGGACCAAGAACCAATCCCTGCAGAAACCCCTAGAAACACACCTGCTGATTCCCCATTTACAATGACCTATCAGTTAGCCAGCTTTTAATGCATTTAAGTGTGCCATGTTAATTTTATATAGTACTAGTTTAATGAAAATGTTGTGTGGTACCCAGTCAAATGCCTTACAGAGGTCTGTCCATTACATCTACAATATTAATACTATCAACCAAACTCGGTATTTTGATGAGGTTACAAGTTAGTTGGACAGGATCGATTTCCATATACCCATGTTGACTGGCATTAATTATATTACAATCTTTTAATTCTTTATTAATCACGTCCTGTATCAGCTGCTCCATTATCTTGCCTGGGATCAACGTTCAACTGACAGGCCTGTAATCACCCAGGTCATCCCGTTTGCCTTTTTAATACTGGAACCACATCAGCTTTCTTCCACTCTTCTGGAATCAATTTAGGAAGGTTGGCTTTCGTGGGCCTGAGAAGTTCAATCCAGACTGTCTGACCAAGAGGGGGACTTCTGGATGTTTCTGTACCCTGTAACCGAACATCCTATTCTAAATATATCCTAGTCCCACACTAAGGACAGTGTTCAACTACACACAAGATCTATAGATATTTATATGTAATAGACAGGAGGTAGGAAACATTGATTTTATCCACAGGTCCCACCAATCCTACTCTCCAGGCAGAGAAGATTCCGTCTCTCAGGGTGACTATCATTTTTCAGCAGAAAGTCAACACCAAGTCTGCCATGAGCAACAAGTGACAGTGAAAATGGAAACGGCTCCACCACTGAGCCTTGCCCCTTTCAAGGCAACATTTTTGAACTCAATGAAATCTGAAACTTATGCTGAATCAGAAATATTTGCTGGAAAAGCCAGAACCATTACCCCCAACAGACGAAGAGAAAAGCCAAACAAGCACAAGACCGTAGATAAGCAAAGCATTCTCGGCTTGGGTGTCTTGGGGGGAGGGAGGAGAGAAGGGCACAAGCAGGCTGAAGCTCACCATAACCTCTGTATTGCGCAGGACATTCTGATACCCGGCTGGATGAAGCACTATTCCACAGGGGTTTGTGTAAACTCCATGGATATGCAAGACACTGAGCTTCCTTTTTTCTTGCGCCCACTCCAGCACCTGCACAAAATAAACACAGCCTGGGGAATATCCGCAAGAAGTGCCCATCTGTTTGGGTTCCTGGGCAAGTCAGAAGTTAGTGGGGGCAGAGTGGGCCATTACTTGAAGTCTTCATTTGTCAAATCTCACATTCCAGGAATTAAACTGGAAAGGAACATTCCTTAAACTCCCGAGGAGGTGAGATGCAGAGAAATCCCAGTGCATGTGAAGAAAACAAACCCAAATCATCTGCAAGGCATCTAAACCACAGGAGGCCAGTGCTTATCCAAAGCCTATCAAGGGTCAGCTTGGGCCATTTCTCCATAGGGGAGCCAGATGCTCTTCCCAGGCTCCTTACTGCAGGTCTTGCAATCATAATTTTTCAGTAATTGCTTCAAGTTATTAACAGCATGTAGCTTTTCAAGAGCGTACTGAATTTCAGTCTATTTGAAAAGTTAACTTCTCCTTCACATCCCTACGCTCATGAGTTCTGGATACAGCTTGTCATACCTCAGACTAAAGTGGTGCCACAATGCTCATTTGCCCCAGAGGTTTGTCCTCGTCACCCACTGTTGACAGGAAAAGGTGGAATCCTGACTCAGAACTCAGCAAGGAAAGGATAAAACAAGCTATTTGACCATTATTTTAATATGCATTTCTCTTAAATCTACATGTTTATTCTATTTCCAATTTAGACTCAAAACAGTTTTGAGAAAGCTCAGCAGTTTAGCCTTTGTATGCTTCAACAAAAAATCCTTATCACATTTACCATGTTTGCAAATTCATTCCTATGCAGCTCATCTCCTTATTTAATCTTGCGATGACTGAGAATGCTACATTTGTATCATTGCAAAATATATCCAACAGTACAGACTGGGAGGTCATGTCGGAGACTGGAGTTTAGAAATGTGATTAAGCTGTGGTATATTTTACGTAGTGATTTTTTTCCCCATTATGTCTAACTATTCTCACTATTTCTATAGTCTCTGCAGCGTGCTTGGCACTTTATGGACAGCATGGAGAGCAGATTCTTGCCAAAAATCTGAACTGACAATGTAAGGATCAGGAATAGGATGCAGAGTGCCAAGTGACTGAGTGGTGTAATTTAGAATCTGCTGTTGGTTAAAGTAATATAAAGTTAGGATTTTCTGTCTGTTGGGTGACAGATCCATCATGGGAAGGACTAGGGATCAGAAACCTTGTGGAGGAAGCAAGGAGGGACTTGGAGGAAAGTTCTGACACATGGCAAAGTGGGTCAGGGATGGGGTCCCAGGAAAAAGGGTAGGCTACATGGAAGAAAGTAGAGATTACAGAGGAAGACAAAAAGCAACAGGGTGGATGGGAGACAAAAACAGAAAAGTAGATGGGTTAATTTGTGCAAGGCCTTGAAGGTTATGGCCCTGTGTGTATTATATATTCTATAATATACCCCAAAAGGAATGTGTTTTATCTGAAAAGACTGATCAGCTTTGTTTGGGGCATATAGCTTCCTGCATAGTTCAAAATCTTAAAGCCAAGTCCCACCTGGAGTCAAATAAAGCTGGGAGTACATTGGCAACTAAAAGCCAGGAGTCCGAAGCACTGATCAAAGCAGTACAAAAGCTGTTAAAGATGCCTGGAGGCTCCTCCTAAGTTACGAGGATGTCCGCCAGCAATTACAGCACTTCTAAGGATGGACATTTGTGACGCAAGGAACTTGAAGGATGCACTGTTCTTACCTACCCCTCTCCCAGAATACTAGAGACCCTTAAACGTACAACACGAAAGATCATCCAGCCAGGTGTATTTTGTCTACCACTATAAATTGATGTCAGTGTCAACAGCATGACACATTTCACATAGGGGCAGGATGTTCTACCGCCACTGACCTATGGCTCATGTGAACAAAGAGCAGAATGTTTAGCCTGGCTGACCCACTTTTTACCTTTTTTTCATCAGTAAGGTCGAGAGATTCAAGCTGTTTCCCTTGGTCTGCTGCATACAGTTCCAGCAGGTTATCAAAGTTTGTGGTTAATACGAGTGCTCCATTTTCCATTAAGCGAAGCACAGACTGAAGCAGCTGTTTCCCAGAATCTTCCATTTTAGACTCCAGGTCATCAAACACCTCGTATAAACAGTCTTTGAAAAACGTGGAGCGGACATTGCTAGTGCGCTGCGGAGGGAATCCAACAACCCAAGGTCAGAGTTGGGAATCTGATTTCCTGTAGCACTTTTCATACACGGGGGACAAGGGCAGTGTACAACCCTACATACATAGCCTGAATTGCTTTGCAAAGCAATGAGTTAGTGGGGGGCACCGATTATGTGTAAGGCAAACAGAGTAGCAGTTACGTGATCAGAAAAGAGCTTTCAGCAGAGATGGAATTGTGGCCAGGACACCCAACTGATCTCTGCCCACCCAGGCATGTCTAATATGCTCATCACGCGGAGCCAGAAGCAAGGCACCCTGCTCTTTCCTTCAAGTACAGTGGGATCTTTACTGTCTATTGAATGCTCAGGCAGGCAGAAGGGATCTAGATTTAATCATTCACAATAGAGCACTTTTAACTGCAGCACCTTTAGTGCTGCCCTTCGGTGGCAGCAGCAAGGAAGAGCACAAGGCCTGAGGTGGGATTTGAACCCACAGCCTTCTACCCAGAAGTGAGACCCACTGGCAGCCAGGCCTCCCCAAAACCCGTAACTCAGAAGTACGTTCTTCCCCAAACACAACACATCCTCAGGGCTACCCCCTCCAGCCACGCCTCTTGCGAGAACATGCTTACCCTTAAATTGCTACGAAAAACTAACATTTACTCTCTCCGGCAGCGCAAAGACAGGCTACTAAGGGAGCAGATACTTTCTGCAACACAGCTATGTAAGGAACCAGCGTATAGAGCAAGGTGATCTCCACTGACAAACCGGCATCTGAGCCCCCAACATCACCATGTCAGCCCACACAATCATGACGTTCTGGGCCAGAGCCATCAAGCTACTGTGACTGAGGAACCATCTCACTGATCCCAGCCTGACTGGTTTGGTCTCTTGATCCTGGCACACTAAGTGGTGGGAGCAGGCACTTCATGCAACACTCTCAAACCTGAGGTTGCCCCAAGGACAGGCCCAGGACCACGGGATGAGTTTCAGAGAGCGCAATACCCAGCTTTGACTGGAAAGGTCCAGTCAGGCCCATTAGGGGCAATTGCTTTGGAGAATCCTTGGCCACCCCCCTGCTCTCAAAGCCACATTCTACACACTGAAGTTGATGAATCCTGCTGCACATGCTCACTCACCGGAGATAGTTTCTGGATAAGGTCATGGGCAACATGAACAAGGTTCTTATCTTCCTGGAGACATTTCTGAAACTTTCTGCTCTCATCCTCTTCAAGGAGATCGAAGTCAATAGCAGCATCCAGCAGGGCCTGGATTAACCCTTTCCAAGATTTCAGTGCTGGGACTTGAGGAGCTACTGCTGCACTGATCCCTGTCCCAATTACCAGAACAAGTTCCCGGGGCTTTTTGGTTTTAAGGCTTGGCAACAGTTTTCTGGAATGAGATAAGAGAGAAGCACATTTGTGCTGACATAAATGAGTGTCCCAAATGCACACATGGGTCACAGAACTTAGAGGAGACAATGGACAAGGCTGAAGGGGTTGGCATGCAGGGAGTGACAGAGTTCCCTCAAAAGACAACGCACAGTTCTACAGGCCAGTAACAGCCAGCTATAAGTATGAGATATTCACAACTTGGTCCTTTACCAGCCCTGTTAAGGCCCAGTGCCCCATCACCCTGGCCAATTTCTGAAGCAGAGTAAGTCAAGTAACTTTAGTTGCAGGACAGCAGAGATCCTGGCAATTGGCCCCATTTAGAAATGCAGGCTAGAAGGATGGCTGGTATGTGGAGAGAGAGACAGAACTTTGTCCTGATAATATCAGCCACTGACAGAGTTCTTCACATTTTTGTATACATCAACTATCAGGTTCAAAATGCACTCCTTGCCCCACAGCAAAGGGGCTCCAGCGCACCTATGGGGATTCGGGAAGAGGAAATAACATAACCTTAAGCGTGTCTGGTTCTAATTTCAAAATGGCCCAGACTGCTCCTCCTCCTCCTGTTTTATTTATTAAGTGACAGGGGCTCCAGTGACATCTCTCAAGACAGAAGCTCTATTTATACACAGAACAGGCCAGTGGAAGCAAAAGTTTCTTGCCAGCACACACTACTCTTTAGTGCCTCCATGGTCCAGTCTGTCATTGGCCTGTGCTGAGACTATTAAGCAAAGGGTGGCAAGAGGGATTTTTGGTGAGCCATGAGAAGGAGCAGAGTCAAAGCGTGGACCACGCAGAGCCTTACAGAGGGATTGTCTGCCCGTCCGCCCACCCCCTTACTTTGCTGGCGGTGTACCTGTACTATGTTTTAAGTCATATTTTATCAACACCCTATTGAATCACCATCACTGGTGATTACACACCAACTACAGCTGGGTTTACCCAGCAGGGGAGCCCAGGGAGCTTCAATATTACTGAGAGAATGAGCAAAGAGAAGCAACCCAAATACAAAAGGAACACAATCTGAAAACTTTTGACACTCGGCAAGGATGGGAACGTAAATACAGAAATACCTAGGGTACTTTTACACTGCAATCTCCCCCTCCACAGCAAGTCTCAGAGCCCAGGTCAACTAACTTGGGCTTGCATTATGGGGTTTAAAATAGCAGTGCAGACATTCCTGCTTGGGATCAAGCCTGGTCTCTGAGAGCCTCCCCACTCAACGGGTCTCAGAGCATGAGCAGGAACATCTACACGGCAATTTTTAGCTCAATACCGCAAGCCCAAGTTGGCTGATCCAGGCTCTGAGACTGGCTGCAGTGGGGTTTTGGTTTTGCAGTACAGACATTCCCATAGTCAGTGCCTCTGTCTCAGTGCAGGTTATGTACCAAGTTGTGTGGCTGCAGCAGTAGATTGGCCTGAGAGCTCTTTTGAGATCAGCACAGTTCCATGTGCTAGCTGCTGTTTGAGAAAACAACTACTTGATCCTTTGGTTTGTGCATATGTTATTGGTTGCTATTGCAAATCTGGGTCTATTCGGTTTATTCAGAAAATTTAGGGGATTAATTCTGAACCCCAATTTTCCTGCATCATCTATAAAAGAAACAATCTTTCCCTAATAATATGGGAGTGAAATCTTAACCAGGCTTTTTTATATTTTCAGAATCCTGTTGGTTGAAATCCTGAGCATCAGAGCATGGCTGGCTGGCCAGTTAGCTCAGTTGGTTAGAGCGTGGTGCTAATAACGCCAAAGTCACGGGTTCGATCCCCGTACAGGCCACACTTTTGGGGGGAGGATAGCTCAGTGGTTTGAGCATTGGTCTGCTAAACCCAGGGTTGTGAGTTCAATCCTTGAGGGGGCCATTTAGGGATCTGGGGCAAAAACTGGGGATTGGTCCTGCTTTGAGCAGGGGGTTGGGACTAGATGACCTCCTGAGGTCCCTTCCAACCCTGATATTCTATGAGTCTATGAGCCAAACAAAGTGACGATTCTAAGCAACAGCAGCTCAGGAAAGAGATTTGGTTCCCACACTGATAAGCAGTAGGCATTTCTATCACCACATTCCTAGCGAGCCAGCCTACATGCCGAGCCTCCTCTCTGTTCATTTTAGAATTTAGCAGGGTGGAGGAAAAACAAAAAAAAAATTATTTAAAAAAAAAAATAAATAAAAAAACCCGAAGACCTGGATATTTTAATTGTTATTTAAATTAAGTTTTATTTCACCCACCTTCCTGCCTTCTCACAGCCAATAAATAAGTCAGGTTAGCTGAATACACTTCCTCCAACAGCTCTTCAGACAGACACTTTTCCGCAGAACCAACCCAGAGAGAACATCAAGCGCTGGCTAATATCTAAGCACACCCAGGCACCCTCCAGCACGATAGGGAGTTTAAAGAAACTGAAGCAAAGCAGATGCCCTTTTCTGCTTTGAAAGGGAACAAGTCCTGGGAATTTTCTTAATCTTAACTCCCTTGTCCTAAAGGTTAAAACATCACAAGGAACAGGATGGACTGAATTAAACCAAAGCAACTTAAATCACCAAGTGGAAAGCTTCAATTTGGTACATATTTTTGCTACCCAGTAATGAGCTATGTGGTGGTGTCTCCTGAAGTCAGAGGCCAGGTCTCAACATCTGTGATAACTGTTAGGATATATTTCAGAGGAACAGCCGTGTTAGTCTGGATATAGATATTCAGGCCTGTCTGTAAAGGCCTATATTCTAAGAATTTAGGTGTATTCTTATCACTTGGCTAGTTATAAAGGTACAAAAGAAAGAATCAAAATCACTGTCTGCTGGTGTAAGGGCCTTCTCTTACTGTGACAGTCTGAGGCCCTGTTCTTAGGCTAAGGCCTTTGGCTAAGCAGCAGAGGCAGCCATAAGCTAGGAAGTGAACAGTCACATCCTCACATTCCAAACTAGTCACCTTGAAATAAGGTGCTATTGGGCTATTAGGCACTATCAGAACAGGATTGTATTCCTATCACCTCCAGAGAAAGGGAAGTGCCTAGAAAATGTAAAAGAAAACTTAGTTTGATAGCATCCTGTCTGGCAAGAACTCACTTATCAATAGCTGGGATGTGAAATCCTCACTTCTGTATTGTCTTGTCATTATAGTTCCCACTTTGCTATTGTTTGTCTGTATAATCTCTCTGGTTCTGTGATTGTTCCTGTCTGCTGTATAATTAATTTTGCTGGGTGTAAACTAATTAAGGTGGTGGGATATAATTGGTTACATAATCATGTTACAATATGTTAGGATTGGTTAGTTAAATTTCAGGAAAATGATTGGTTAAGGTATAGCTAAGCAGAACTCAAGTTTTACTATATAATCTGTAGTCAATGAGGAAGTGAGTGGATGTGTGGGTGGGGGATGGGAACAGGGAATGGGGGTGCGGAAATTGGAATCATGTTTTGCTAAAGAGGGGAAATGGAAATGGGGGTAAGGAAATTGGAATCATGTTTGGCTAAGGGCAGGAATGGGAACAGGGACACAGGTGTAAGGCTCTGTGGTGTCAGAGCTGGGAAGGAGGATACTAAGGAAGGAAACTGGAATCATGCTTGCTGGAAGTTCACCCCAATAAACATCGAATTGTTTGCACCTTTGGACTTCGGGTATTGTTGCTCTCTGTTCATGCGAGAAGGACCAGGGAAGTAAGTGGGTGAAGGAATAAGCCCCCTAACAATAACTTCAACAGTCTCTTGCACCCAGGAGCATAGCCCCTGGGTCCCTCACAGGATCAAGCCTTTAATACAGTACAAGAGCTATTGTTCCACACTTATAAAGCTTTACCTCTGCAGTTAGATTCTCCCCCCAGCTGAGTCCTCCTTTATATAGGAAAGCAGCCTTTCACTTAATTTTTGATAGAGGCTCATGGAGTCAGTATATTTATTATCTCTTAAAACATTTAAATAAAAAATAAGTAGGCTTTAACACATTTTGTATTAAATTCAGATTTTAAACAGGTTTAGATTTAAAAAATAATTAAAATAAATTGGATTTATATCAAAATATAATTTATATAAAATCTGATTCCCCGCCCCCCCAAGAAACAGATTTTTATCCACACAGACAAGAAAACAGTGGTTATAATGAATTGCTGAAGACAGCATACATTGTCAGACAAGCACTGGAAAGATCACTGATTCTTAGTGCCAGATGTCACACCCCTTTCTAAAATGAATGCAGCGTCATGGAAAAAAACTCTCTTCATTTCCCTCTTACTAATATTTCAATGTCAATGTAGTAGAAGTAAGTTCACCTGGGCTTTTTCGGAGGTGGTGTTCCATCCACCAACAGCGTGTCTTTATCCAAGTTCACACTCACTGTAGAAGCCATCCAGTTTCTGTAGCAGACAAATTTACAATAAGCAAAATTAATACATGCTATCTGATCTGGAGCAGGCTAAATTACTAACTTTGTAAAGGAAGAACAAATATTTAGTCTCATTATCTTTATCACATCATTTTTTGGCTAAGGACTGCACTATTCTGGATTCTGCACTTCAGCTCCAACCTAGTTGCTCATCTTTACTGAACCAAAAACTTATTATTTTTAATGAAGTTTTGCAAAGTATCCAGGAGACTATTCTAATGACTGCTGATCACAGTTTCAAACTCCCCATTAGCTAACATATCCTCTCAGAAGCTTAAAAATATGAATTCCTTACCAGCTCCACCCTCTAATGTATTTCACCCAGGTTCAATAGCTGAAATTAACATGGTTGATTAGGTTTTAAAAAGCATCCATACTCATTGTGCCATTGCCTTATCACTCCTGATGCCAGCCTGGTACTAGGATTGCCTCTTCTCCCCTGCAGCTGTGCAGCAGACCTCCCCCAAGGTACTAGCATTGGCATCAAGGCAATAGCTCATTTCTAGTCAAACACCTTCATTTTACCTTGCCCACTCATCTTGGTTTGTTGGCCTGCATCCTTGGGCAAGGTTGGCACCTCTGAGAACCGTATTTGATAGAAATCTTGCTGCTCCAGGGCCAGCAGAAGCAAGCACAAAAGATTTTTGTTGACTTTACAAAAGAGGCTATTGTGGATATCTTTTTATTCTTCAGTGATGTGTAAATGATCATATTCGTTATATATCTAGACTCCAGAAGATTTTCCATGCTGACAATTTAAATGTCAAATTATATACCTGAAAACCTTTGTCAATACCCCTTCAAATGAAACCCTTGGTCAGGAGAATTGCCAGTATATTTCTCCTATTACTAAGCCAGTCCCTCCGGAACAAGACTGTTCCAAAGGGAAAGAGAGGGTATCTCTCAGTCTCTATTGCCTTCTCAGTCATAGGCCATCTCAAAGGGGCCAGTAAGATTCTAGTTTGTGCTAAATGCAATGGTCATTTTTGTGACATGGAAGTCCATTGAGTAGCAACTGGCCTGAGACCATAATTTATTTTACACAGATCACTGACTTTCAGGGCCATTCAACCTGGGCCAGATCTGAACAAATGACCTACAGGGGAGTCTCTTCGTTTCTCTGCTAGGAACAAACAGCTTTTAAGGCAGATTATATTTTATGGTAAAAACTCAGTGCCTTCTTAATATTAGTGGCTGTAAATTGGGGACTGAACCCAATATCTTCTGCATCTTAACTTCATGGTCCCAATTCCCTTTTGGAAACATTGACATAAACCCAAGGACAGCAAACAGTGCTAAACGTTTTCGCCCACAGAGGTATAATTTAAGTGTGACCAACTTGGATTTTCTGTAGTTTACAAAAGTACAGCTCCCAAGCTTCTGGCAAGTAAGACTCAGATTTTAAGGCCAGAAGGGACCCTCGTGATGGTCCAGTCTGATCTCCTGCACATTGCAGGCCAAGTTGTCAGTGTGGCCTGCAATGTGAAATCATCATGGGTACAGTTTACAAAACTCCAAATACACCCTGGATTTCATCCCACATGCTGATATAATATGTGCAGGCTCTGCCTTTGTAGGCCTCAGACAGCCTTTACTAGTATCCTCTTTTTGGCAAGGGGTACTCACTTCTAAAAAGTTTTGATCTTCTGTATCGGATTACTTCTTTTCTGGAGTACGCTGATCACAACACTTGTACATACCTGTGAGTGTACAAAATGAAAATAATTTCACCTCATTCCTTCTAGCTCAACATATTATTGTGTTAACTACTACTGTTTCCAGAAAGGGCATACAGGGAAAAGCAGTTTCCCCCCAGTGATATTAGTTCTGACATGATCCAGATCAGTGATTGTTCCCATGTGGAATATTTTATCATACAGGTTAATTCTTTCAAGGCACCATTACTCTTCCTTTCAGGTGACTGCCAAGTGCTTTCTGCCACCAGATTAAAGTGTTAGCTGTGGCAGCTCTTCATTATCCCAGTTTTTGGGAAGCCACCTGAAATCCTTCAGAGGGACAAAACACAATGTACAGCACCACACTCGGTAAGATCTGAGAAAAGAAACAGCAGCCTTGCTCGTATTGTTTGAGGGCTTATCAATTTTAGTTAAGCACCCTAAGGCTCAGACAAAAAAATGTGAGTCGGGTATTAACTCAGACATTTCGCAAGGGGGCAGTAGGAACAAAAACAACTGCTACAGGGAACTGTGAAGAGTAGGAAGAGAAAAGGAGAAGAGACTCAAGGCTTCCAACGTTTGCCTTTTGGAATCCCACTTAACAGACAACAAATCTTTGCCCATGTTTAACAATCTTCCATTCCTTTCTTTTTTTAAAAGGAGCTATGAAATAAACAAAATTGAGCCAAAAGACAATTAGGTTAAGGGGAAATCAGAAGTATTTTGGGACTTGAAGGGTAAAATTTTCTGAAGTAGTTATCAAAAGTAAGAGTGAAGAACGTAGTCAAATTCAGTCCAAAAGCAGCTGTTTCTTTTGTCAGAGTAAGCTATCCCTTAGTTATTTCTGATCATTCTAACGCCCACTAGCGGAAAAATTGCTCAGGTGTAAAGAAAGTATAACAATTTGTTTTGACATGAACTATCAGTGCTTAAGCATGAAACTCAGATGAAATCTAGCTGAAATATACAATCATATTTTGCACATTAATTTATGCAAAATCACCTCAAGTCCACAATGAAAACAGGACTCACAGCCAAGTTTTTAAACTGACATGAACAGTTATGTAGGCCACTTAAGCGTTCCAGAGGCTCTGTTCTAAGCCCAGGTAGCCTGCATAAGCTTCCAATTTCTTTAAAGAGAAACACCAAGGTAATTTAGGCACAAAATGTAAGTTTTTATATTTGTTTCACTTCATCATATATCAGGCAATTGACATTCAAACATCAAAACTGTTTATGGAGTTTGGATGTAAGCATTTCCCTGTACGGTTTGCAAACTCAAATTGTACTTAGCCATGGGAATCAACGTGAAACTGACTATAAACAAAAGTTAAAATGAACAGTCTTGTGTTTCTCTCAGCCTGGACAATGTAAACAAACATAACTGGGGAAGTCAATTATTTAAAGTGAATCTATGGTATGAAGGGCCTTTTAAAATAAATTTGGATTTTAACTTAACTGGACAACGTCTCTAAGTTATCGTCAGGAACTAGACCTTTCCATCACACTGAACCTCCCCTTATCGAAAACAAGAGAAACTATTCCTAGTCAGATCTCAGGGAAAAGAGTGCTTATATTTAAAGCATTAGCAGCAGTCAGGCTATTACTGGCAGGGATTACTGTTCTTAAAATCAAGGTTTTAATCCCAGAGTCAAGAAATGTAAGTCTCCAGGTCATGTGCCAGGGCAAAATGGCTGCTCTCCAGGGGGGATGGAACTGAGAGAAAATGAGCATCTTTTGGGCCAGGTTATTAGACACTGGAATTATTCAGTTCCTGACAACTGAACTGTGGGGAAGGCTGCAGAGGGGAGTCTTACACTAGCTGATATTGCTGTGAATGGCAGCCCAATGAAGAACAAAAGTGAAGACAAAATGGAGAATAGCAATATTCAGAGAAAAGCAATTGTTCATTCTTCCTGAAACATCCCAGTTTATGCTACAGTAACTTTGGAGACTGTGTGAGCATCAAGCTCTTAAGGCTTCTTGGCTCCAGAATCCTATTCTCCCATCATCAAACTATCCTTCTATGGAGTGAGGGAAAACCAAAAGCATTTTCAGATGGGTTGAATAAGTCAATTTTTTTCCACATGAAGTCAGTTTACATTTATCTTGTGATAACTAGTTCCTGTTGATCTTATTCCTGGAGTGAAAATCTGAGCTCTTTATCCCGACAGCTTTGTACAATGCTGAAGGCAGGTTAGAAAAGGTATTTAAGATAATGCAAAGTGACTTACACTTTGATTTGAAATGAGTGTGCAGAGTCAAGAGATATAATTGAACTCCCACTATGTGCAACCAAAGTGATTTTTAAAATGGATCATCATCCTTAAATCTACACAAATGTCATCATCTAAAACTGTATAAAATCTATACAAACAATAAATCTAACACTTACAGAGTGAGCAATCAGTGAGACCAAGTACAGGTCAAAAGCATTCAAATCAGAATAATGAGGGTACAACTACAGTAAAACCAAATGCTTCAACACAAACACAGGCAGTCTCACATTAATGTTGCTGAACTTCTCACGAAGCATGGATTTAAAATGCCTTACAACAACTCTGATCATGCCAAAAAACACTAACAGAACCACTCAAGATTCAGGCATGGTTGCACTTACACTTTAGGAAGTCCACAAAGAACCCTATTTTTCTTGTGAATCAAGCGTCTAAGGCAGTAAACTACACAGGTAGCTTAGCAATCTGCACACTTACAAATTTTCAAATGCCCATAATTCAGTCAAACCAAAACCAAATTTCTCCCAAAACAACGCAATGCCTTGCACTGTTCCTCAGTGAGAAACGGTTCTATAATAGCTGAAGTATTTCTCCCCCGCTTATTTTCCTTCCTCAAAAGTTACCACGCAAAATCCATGAGGGCTATTCTACAGATTAGACCCATTCTACTCATGAGGACACTGAGACACGGAATTACATTTTAGTAAGAGTCATAGACAGGTCACAGCCTCCATGAATTTGTGTTTATTGCCCACAACCTGTCCATGACTTTTACTAAAAATATCCATGACAAAATCTTAACCTTACCAATGCCCATCTCTGACAGATCCAACAGTCCAGCTCCCTGGTTTTGACCTTTCCCAGCCATGAAAAATGCTTCACAGACTGTGAAATCCGACCTCCTCTGTGAAATCTAGTTACTGGAGGGGAGGAGAGGGCTGGGAGTTATGCTTTGTGTGAAAGATCTACACAAAAGAGAATACAGAAAAAAGGAGAACGAAGAAAGGAGAACAGAGATCCATCCACGAGCACAGTAGGGAACAAAAAAATGCATCAGTTTTGCTAATTTGCTCAGAAAGTCGGAGTTACTGAAAGTAATGCAAATATAGCGACTGAAGTAAATGGTGTTAAATCACATTTGTAACAGAGTTTGTACGTGGATTTTTATTAAAAGAAGATGCATATACAAAGCCATACTATACTACAATTTTTTCCTGAGTATTTTTATTTTAGAACTGAGCAAACTGATAGCCTCAGTTTCCAGGTTTGAACAGCATACACACATGCAAAAAAATCACCATCACAACTGACTCTCTTACCGGCAGTCTCAACTGAGAAACCAAGGACCAAATGAGTCCTGAAAACTGAATTCTCCCCTTCTCATCCCAAAGGTAGGCCCTTCGGTGCAGGCTCAAGGCAGAGTGGCAGTTTGCACTGCAAGGGGAAGCCTGTACTGCTTCTGCCCGTGTTGTTGTGTGACTTCAGCCTACAGTGAAGTCAAGCCTGGACCTGCCACCAGCACAGAGATTCATCTAGGGCAGAGGTGGTCAATAGGACCACCACGGGCCAAATCTGGACACCAGACACTTCTGAACACACTGCAAAATCTTTCTATTTACTTATTATAATCATCATTATTTTTGTATTATTTTCTCTGGAGTGTGGTCCTTGACTATACCTTGACAAAAAATAATTGATTACCCATGATCTAGGGCGTCATCCTGCATTCTTTGCATGCTCCAACTTCTCATTGACGTCATGGGAGTTTGGAGTAGCATGTCCCCAGGGGTTTTACGACTTAGCCTTACAAGTATGTTGTCTTTAACAAGAGGAAAAAAGTAAAGGAGTACTAGTGGCACCTTAGAGACTAACAAATTTATTTGAGCATAAGCTTTCATGAGCTACAGCTCACTTCATTGGATGCATAATTCAAGTTAGGAGTTCCCTATGATATGGAGTTATCTACAGACATCGGAACAGATGCTGAACCCGCACGATTTAGGATATAATGTCACCTAAGAGCTGTATCTTTTTCTACCTCATTTTGAATTTCTGCAAACAATGAACAATGAACTGCAACATGACCAGACTGCGCACGCAGTGAGTACTATCAAATATACCAGATCATCCCTTCAATGACAAAACCATAAAGCAGTCTTTTAATTTAGAATAAAATGTTTACAACACCTGTTCTCTTACCTTTAGGTTTTGTTCTGTTGTCCTCTCACCGTCCCTTTGATTAGAGTGTGTCGCTGCAGATCCAAAGAAAAGTTAGGAACACTCCAAACACGTGAGAGTTTCTTGCCAGTTCTACCCAACATGCTCTCATTATTCCCACTTTACAACAGAGAGAGATCAATGGTCAGAAGTTTCTTAGATACCGGAGCATGTAATGAGATGTGCCTTAAAGAACCCTTGACAGCACTTGCAAAACAGCCACTGTTGCAATTTCTCTCGGAAGTATACTACTTTTTTTTTTTTCCAAAGCAAAGATCTGTCAGGACGCACAATAGCACACAACAAACAAGAGCTCTGTATGAAGAAGATAGACTCATGATTGTCTAGGCCTGTAGATGTTAAGCACCTGATCTTTTTAACTCTAATCAGTTCACTGAAGAATGTCACACACCCCTAAAATATGAGTTGGTATATTTGATAAATCCTTGGTTACCTCACAAATAAGTTTATTTTCCCCTTATGGAAGCAATTCTAGGGTGTTTACTTCAGAATCTTGCAGTAGGAGGACAGAGAATCAAAGATAATCGCTTTTCTGCAATGTTGTGTAATACTGTCTGCTCCCCGCATTTTGCAAAAAGTAGCCACACAAATCACCTCAGTAACTTTTGGTCTAACCAGTTCTTGAATCTCAGCAGTGATAGTGTTCTAAGCTTCAAGAGGGATGGTTTAGAATTCTTTCCTAATATCTAGGCCAAACTTTCCTCCCTTAACTTCAGATCATCCCTCCTACCAATTTCTGAGAATTAAGCACTGCCTTCCTAGAACACATGGTTATCTTCCAAGGTCATCCCTGGGATTGTGTCTCCCCCCGCCTGGTCATCTCTTTGACTATATAAATTCAGGTCACTTGAAGAGAGACTGTGGGAGCTATTTTTGTTTTTCTTTAGATTTGCTACATCCTTCCTACATTTTGAGAGACAATACTACAGGCAATAGTCCTGGTGCAGCTGGTTGGACAAGAGCTCCAGGGAGGCAGTTACAGGACACTAATTTGGCATTGTCATCCCACTACACACATCAGAAGTCAATAGCATTGCTTTTTTCATGCTCCCATCCCTCTATATGCTCCTGTCTGGTTACCTATTTATCTGTGACCTCAGCAACTACGTCTGTACTTGAGTTTCCATCTATACTATTTGCTTCTCCCTAAGTGTTTAATATGTTCCCAACAATGAGAGGCTGTTTCTCCTGAATTACAACTGATTAGCCACTAGATAAATTATCACTCTTGATCTGAAAAGAGGAGATTAATTTACTTATTTGATTAAACTTGTGACAACCCTGATGTTTATAATAATGTTGGACAGAGTTCACATGGAAAGCCTGTTAACTTCTCCAGAGAGGTCCCAAACTAGCTTGGTCTTTGTAGATTTTGCCAGCTTGCTAAGGCTCTAGTAAAACTACTGAAGAAGAGTGAGCTGTCATATAGAAGTGCTAAACTAAATAAATAGTAAGGAATTTGTTTAGATAGTTTGCCCATTGCAAAGCTGAACCAGATTGTGTGGTTTAATCTTGGTTCAACCTAAGAACTTTGTCTGAAAGTTACATATTTTATTCACATATTGAACAATAAATTAAAATGACTGTTAAATACTAAGAATGGAACTTGGTTTATGATCTTAAGTGCTGCGGGACTGCGACACTAGTGTCACTTTAATAAAAGCTCAGAAATTTTATTTGCCAACAACTATTTTCAAGTACTCCTCTCTGGCTGACCATCCTATGTCGTGCTACCTGGGAGGTGAAAGTTTCAGGAGTTAAGCTTGGCCAAGGGCAGGCACTACAAAGGCAGCAAGCTCAGCCCTTAGGGGAAGGGACAGCCTCATTCATTTAGGGAAACACGACTCAATCAAAAAAAAGAGAGACAGGTCAGGGAAAGAAGATACAGAGGAAGAGAAATCAGTAAATAGGAGGCATGGAGGCTTTCTGGTCTGGGACTGCACACACAGTAAAAAAGAGTTTATGACACCAATCAGCCAAAAACTAGGAGTATACAATCGAAAAAGAGGATTTTAAGTTTACAGAATGAGTATTTTTAACAAACAAAGGGGTAAGATGGAAGCAAAATTGCATCAGACGGTACAGTAGAGAACAAGAGCTGCAGGGCCTACAGAAACAGAACAAGGAAGCTAGTGGCATAATAACCAGGCACTGCCAACTTTTTAAAGTGAGTTCTTTGTGTGTGAGATCAAAGGATGAGGACAGGTTCCACAGACTACCAAATCTCATGAGAGGAAGAAATCATTAGATTCAGGTTAAACCAGAACAGTCAGATTTCAAATTTTCTAAGAACACTGAAAACCTAACAACTGAAACTTAAGCTGTATTACACTAATCCATCAAATTTCGTTTGTATGTTCACTTAGGAGCAGTGGGTATGGAAGATCTCCACTTTCTGGAGAGAAGACAATAAGGGGCTTACAGAGCAACACATCTTACCAAAAGCAGGTCTATCACTGAACAATTGGCGATCACCTTTAGCTCAAGACCAGATTATTATTTTGGTCATGGAGAATGGGAGGGACATTGTGGGGCATCTCTGAATAAGTAACAGAAACACCTCAATATGCAAGGGAGTCAAAAAGGGGTAAGCCCATGGTCTAGTGCTAGGAAACTGGGCTGGGATCCAAGTTCAAGATGTCAGCTGGGAGCGGTAGAGAGTGACGAAAATGGGAGCTTTCTATAATATTTTTATGAACAACAGGGGTCTTGGTTGAGCCATTTGATTTGGTATTGTTACCTACTGAATGTAGAGGAGTGAAAACACTTCTCCTGGAACAGAGGAGAGACATGAGGTGTTTGGGTCCCACAGCTGACTGGGGTGAGATGAAGGCATCATCAAGAGCTGTCTGGAATCAACATATTGACAGAATACCCAGAAAAAACCATGAGAACGCCAACGACTGAACATTAATACTTAACAATGGAAGGCCCAAACAGGCTGAACTCAGTTTGATTTGACATCAGAAGGACAATGGACTGGAGATGTCAGGAACCTGCAATAAGAAGTGTTCACAGACACACAGCAGCTCTCATTCAGGGTTCTCACACACAGAGCAGCCTCATGGGACTCAAGAGACAAAGGGACAGAGAGAACAGAAATGAATTCTACAGAAGGGGCTTGGCGGAGCCCCAGATTTTGCCAGTGCAAACTCTACCTTAGGTTAGCATACAGAAACAAAAGTTAAGAGCTTCTAGATCAGGGGTGGGCAAACCACGACCCGCGGGCCAGATCCAGCCTTTCATAGCTTTGGATGCAGCCCGCGGATTTGCCACCCACGTGGCACGTCACCATTCACCAGCACCACGTCCCTGCAGCCCATGGGGGAGGCAGGGCAGAGGGCTCAGCGCACTGCTCTTGCCTGTAGGTACCTCCCCCAAAGCTCCCATTGCCCAGGAACGGGGAACTGCGACCAATGGGAGCTTTGGTGGAGGTACCCACAGGCACACTGAGCCCTCTGCGCCCCCTCCTCCTGCTGCACCCCAATCCCCTGCCCTGAGCCCCCTGCTGCACCTTGCACCCCAACCCCCTGCCCTGATCCCCCTCCCGCACTCCGCATCCCTCCCTGCACCACTGCCCTGAGCCCCCTCCCACACTGTGCACCCCCTCCTGCATCCCAACCCCCTTCTCTGAGCCCCCCACCCCACACCCGTCCTGTGCCCCAACCCCTTGTCCTGAGCCCCTTCCTGCACACTGCACCCCTCCCACACCCCAACCCCCTGCCCCAGCCCTACATTCATGGCCCTGCAAGCAATTTCCCCACCCCAATGTGGCCCTCAGACCAAAAAGTTTGCCCACCTCTGTTCTAGATGCTGCACTGCAACAGATTCAAAACCTGCTCTGGTTTGGAAAAGGCTGCTTGATGTCACTTCAAATACTGATGTGCATTGATACCTGAAACAGGTAAAAAGTCTCTGATCAGGAGTCTATCTCAGTCAGATTCACTGTGCAGCACTCATGGTGAGAAACAGGAATGTTGGAGCCCGAAAACCCAGTCTCCAAGGCATTGAAGCCACATGGCCTATCCTCATGGAAAAGTGTGACCTTTTAGGGTCTGGCACACTAACAGGTAACTCCCAGCACACTGTTTAAGGGCCAGAGGATAGTCCAGACCCTGTGAATCCATAACACAGCAAACTGTCTCAAGCAAGGTTTCCACCCCTCATATGCTAGAAGTAGCATTTATCGGTCCTTTCTTGGTCAGCAAAAGGGAGAGGGAGTTATTCAAACACTGACCAATGGTCACATCTACATTATGAAAACAGCCCTTGAATAACTAACACGTTCAAACTATTCCTTGCCAATTTACACCAGAATTTTAACAAGGATTAGCCAACATGTTTAAAAAAAAACACCTTTTTCCTAGTGAAGAAAGGGTCTTTCGGGGAGGCCTGGTCAACACAGCAAAGCTTTGCTGGCATGTAAGTGTCAGCTAGGATGGGGGCTGCATGTCAGTGCTGGGTGAGGAATGGCCATGCCGCGTTGCCAAGCCCGGGTACCAGCTGCCGCCCCCGCCCCAGAGGGGGCTGCATGTCAGTGCTGGGTGAGGAATGGCCATGCCGCGTTGCCAAGCCCGGGTACCAGCCGCCGCCCCCGCCCCAGAGGGGGCTGCATGTCAGTGCTGGGTGAGGAATGGCCATCAGCGTTGCCAAGCCCGGGTACCAGCCGCCGCCCCCGCCCCAGAGGGGGCTGCATGTCAGTGCTGGGTGAGGAATGGCCATCAGCGTTGCCAAGCCCGGGTACCAGCCGCCGCCCCCGCCCCAGAGGGGGCTGCCCCGGGCACGCTCCCCTCAGAGGGCTGGAGGAGCCGCGCCGGCCCCAGGACCGCGGCGCAGGGGGGTCCCCACGACCCTGCCCGGCCGGGCTCCGCCGCGAACTCACCTGGCTGTGGCGCCCCAGCCGCTGCTACCGGCCCGCGGGGAGCCGCCGCCGGCGCAAGCGCGTTACACTCGCCTCGCATTCCTTACCGCGGAGGCGCCTTGCCGCTCCTTCCCGTGCGCACGCGCGGTGCTCGCCCCGCCCTCTGCTCGCCGTCCTGCGCAGGCGCACGCCCAGGGCCCGCCTCGCTCTCGTGCCAAGGCGGAAGGGTGAGAAGGGCCGGGGAAAAGCCGACCAGGGAGCCTCAAGGGGTGTGTCCCTTCGGCTCCGCCCCGCACTTTCCATTGGTCTACTAGCGGCAAGGGGGCGGGTTGCTGAGCTCTAGGCCTGTCGGGGCAGGGCAACGTACGTCGGCTCCTCCCTCAAGACCACACCCGCTTAGGTAGGTGAGGGGTAAATCCCGCGAGAACTCCGGCTCGGCGGCAACCAGCTCTTTCCTCGCGCCCTCTGCCTTCTCGCGATGTTTCATGGGCTATATAAGGGGAGCCCCGGGAGGTGTTAGTCAGTCAGCGTCCTGCGTCAGGCAGGTGGCAGTAGTGTGGGGGCGCTCGTGAGGGCTTGGCCACTGGCCTGTCTGGGGTCTCTCTAGGGCTGACCTCGGGCCAAGGGCTGACTTGGGGACCCAGCTTCTCTCCAGTCATGCTCCCCCTGGGGCGTCGCTGGCGACCCGCCACGTTGGGTGTGAAAACAAACGGCTCAGGCCTAGTCCCCAGCTGAGCTGGTCTAGTCCTCGTGCCCCCCCCGCAGAAACCTGGGCAAGGCTCGCCGGCACCCTCCTGGCCAGGCTGTGGAGGGACGAGAAACCAGGGAAACTCCGCGCAGCCCACTCATTAAAGCGCATATAGGGGTCAGATGGAAATCCTATGCAAGCTTTGCGACCCAAAGGGTTGCTACAAAAACCACACAGAATGAGGGAGTGTGGCAGCAAGAGTACTAGGAAAGCACCGTGCGTGGCCATTGCGTTCCGAAGTCGGTGACTGATGAAATGGGTGAAGGAGTAACGGTGATAAACAGTACCTTGCAAACAGCATTTGCTTAGGCTGTGGTAATTGCAGAACCTACTGCGCTAGCCGTGGTAATGGCAGTGTCTTCTACAGTACTGGGGTAAAGGAGTTCTAGCAACATCACTTATGCTACCCTTTGTTTTAGATGTGTGTGTTAATTCAGGATATGTAGTTCTTAAAAATAAATAAATAAAACATCTCAGTCCTTACAAAGTGATTATACTTGGTCTGTTTAAATATCTCCCAATTCATTAGGGGGGCCAAGTGCTTACACTGAGTAAGTACATGCAACCTTGTCCTTGCAAACAGCAAGATGAGCAATGAAATCGTTTTAAATGAATGCTAGGAATGACATTTGTTGAGTATGTAAAAATGTTGTCTTACTCATCATACTAGAACTAAATTGTCTCCCTTAGGATATCTAGTATGATTTTCTCAGGAAGATGAAAAGCTGCTTTTTTTTAGTTTTGGTACACTGTGATATGGATAATACCATTTCCTCTTTGAGGAGCCTAGAACGATTTTTTAGGTGCCTTAAATATTTAAAAACAGTATAAATTAGGAACATAAGAAACTTATTTTAAGATATTCAGGATGCTCGCTTCTTTCCCTCATTCTGTCTGAGAGATGACTTTAGGTTTGTGAATGAGTAATCTTCCCAATAGAAGCGTGTGAACCTACCCTGTTTTGGAAAAGTCTGCTTTGAATTGCTGCAATTACTGATTTCCATTGACCCCAAAAGGGAGTAAAAAGTCTCTGAGCTGGAGCCTACCTCAGTCAGACTCGCTTTACAGAGCTCATAGCGAGAAACAGGCGTGTTGGAGCCTGAAGACCCTGTTTTGGAGATGTTGAAGCCACATGGCCTATCCTTATGGAAAAGGGTGACCCTTGGGGGTTTGGCACACTACAGGGTTAACCCTGGCAGCCAGTTTAAAGGCCAGAGCATAGCCCACGCAGTGTGAATCCATGACATAGCAATCTGTCTCAAGCAATGTTTCTGTTTCATATGGAGGAAGGGGCATTTAATGGTTCCTTTTTGGTCAATAAAAGGGAGTGGGAGTTATTGAAACATTAACCACATCTACACTAGGTAAATAGTTCTCAAACAATTAATGTGTTAAAACTATGACTTGCCCCTTTTACAATAGGATTTTAACCAGGATTAGCCATTAACACTTCAAAATCTTAAGTGTTGAAACTATTTGTAATGTTCAAAATGACACTATCGTGACTGTTTTTATGCATAACTTCATCACTCATGTAAGTAATGTTACAGTAAAACCTCTGGAATTTTCCAAGAAGTAGAAATTCCCTGACTCCCCCCTGTGTCCCACACCTCTGCCAGAAATATAGTAGCTCTTCCGCAACCTCCTATAACCCAGGGTAGAGCAGTGGCAGATCATGAGCAGACAATAATGGCTGGGGTTAGCTGGAGGCAGGGAAGGGAGGGCAGTCAGAGAAGGCCTGCTGCATCAGGGCAGCCTTGAAAATCATAGGAATGAAGGAGCTTCTCTCATAGTGAGAACTCATCCTTCAGGTGCCAAAATCTATAACTGGCGGGCATTTGCAATACTGGAGATAGTTTCTTCTGCATTAGACAAAGAGTGCTGTCTTCAGATTTTTAATGATCGATATTGGTCTGCAGAAAACTGAAAGTCTTCCTGGTCTGGGGACATTTATGATTCTGAGCCTTAATGAGCTTCGCTATGTTTCTTGGGGGCAGAAGTAGTTTTTTGCTTTGTTTAATCTCTCAGAAATGTTGGTGAATTTTTCTTGTATGGTTTGATGTCAGAGCAACTTTTATAGAAACTGGTGATGAAGCCTTCAGGGCTGAGGGGTCCTCTCTAGAGAGTGTTGATTTCCTGTTTATTCCCTCCCATACTGGATTTGTTTTTCCCTATTTTGCAGTAATCTTATTTCTTATGGTCTCCAACATGTTTGTGACAAAGCTTTGGAAGCTGTATCTGATCTACGTATTGCAGGATAGCGTTGTCCAGTTGTGAAGGGTTTCCTGAAACACCCAGGGGATTTGATGTATTACCCAGTACAAAAAGTTATAAAAATTGTTTTTATTCTGATGCTTGCCTCATCCAAGACTCTTGCCGTCTGTGCTGACGAGTAGGCATAATTCACACAATAACTTGAGATTTCGGATCAAAAGCAGAAACAGAAAGAGCTAAAGAAACACCATGGGGAGCCAAGAGAAGCAGAACTGCTGCGGTTTCCTTGGATCTTGCGCTGGGGGCAAAACAAAGGAGAAACTCAAAGAACTCCTACCAACTGTTTCCATTTTGCTCTACCTGGTTATTCATATTAAGTGATGGAGCATGGCTGAATTACCATAAACAATATTAAACCCAACTACCTTTCAAAAAACAAATTTGTGGGGTGAGACACAAAACTTATTTTCAAGACTGTGCTGTCAAGGTTGGATAGCGACAAGAAATGCTACATGTGATCCATCGGACGAATACCAAACCCATACTCATACTCTGATCCAGAAGCAGGGAGGTTAATTAGTTTGGGTGCAAACTGAAATCCAGTGTCTGAATCACAGCCTAGCATTACCATCTTTTAAACCTCGACCTCGTGAATAGTGATCACATCATAGGCGTGGTTGAGTGTGGTATGATATTACAGAGCCAGGGCAGGGCAAGCAAACATTGGCCCCAAGGAAAATGTAGGATGCTTTTAATAATTTGCAAGCACAGGTCACAAAAAGAATGGGGTGGGGCAACTCTAACCTGCCGGATGTAAATTATTCACTCTCCAAATGTTTAATTTACCTCCCTCTAAGACCTGTTCATCCTGCCTACTGAGAATGAGACTTCAGATCAGTCTTTGTTTCTCTTAACTGCTATCTTCATACCTCCCAGTCTTGTATGATGCTTTGCATCAGATCCCTTGGCAATCTAGAATGATTTTCATACCCTGTGAGCATTACGAGATGGAACACCTATCAAAATTAGGATTGAGCAGGCCATCCACCCTAGATCAGCTTCTTATCAGCATCCTGGGCCATCCAGGCTCCTTACTGAGCCCTTTCTGCTCTGGATAAATGATGCAACTCTCCCAAAATGTCAGTCCACATGAGGCTTTGCTGTAGGCATATTCATGTTATGGGCAGTGCTGAACTAAGCTTTTGACTCTTTGGAATAGGGTTGGATTCTGGTTCTAGCCACATGGTGTGGTGATGCCCCACTTCCCATCAACAGTGTTGCTACAGGAGCATGTGAATCTTATGACACAAACATCATGACCTTGTGACACCAGCCCAGAGGAACCCCACGCTTTGTGCACCTACCCGTGGGGTGTGGGTGGAAAGAGAGTGCTAGTTGAACTAGGGAGCACCTTCTGTCCTGAGACAGGCTTGAACCAGGTAGGTCATGACGTGATGATGTTGCAGAGCGAATGTCCAGGCACTGAGTGTGCTGTACCCCCAGATCAGGACATTCTGCTTAGCAGTGGCAGGTTAGGGTGTGGTTGGATGGTTTATTACTGAAACGTTCTTCCACTTTGGCTTCAGATATGGAATTCTCTCCTTTTCTGACTCCACTGAAATGCCCCGGAAGCTGCATGCCTAGCAAGTCGGGGGAGGAGGGGAGCCACGTTGATTGACTCAGGAGAGTTTTGACTTAACCTTTTACCCCTCTCCAAATGAATCTAAAATGAAAAGGAAACTGACACTCACAGGCAGAGCCCAGTAGATGGGGATGTCGCTGCAGAGAATATTCAGAGTTGTTCCCAGTGTAGTGCGGTCAGCCGGTTCCGCCTCTGTGAAGCTGTAAGACATTTTGTCTCCAGAGACCTGCTGGAAACGAAGTTGCCACATATAGCCCTTCGTATGAGCCAGGTACAAGCATTGGTGCTTGATACCAGCAAGCAAGAAACCAAGTAGAGCTTGAGTCAGTGGAAATGTTCTGTAGCTTTCCTCTAGCAACTGTGGAGCACAGTTTCGTTAGCTAGAAGTAAATCCCTCTCAAAGTCACAGGAACTGTCTTTCACACCCAGGACCATGACATCCAGCCAAGTGCCGAACATTGGGCTGCCACACATCTGGGCTTCAGCAATTCGATCTAGTGTCCCCAGCTACCAGGGGATACCTTCCCCTGCAGGACAGGGGCCTTGGTCAATTTTTCACAGATTTTAAAATGAGAAGTAAGCTATTGAACTGTAAGCAGAACCTTGGTGGATGATTGACACCACTTTGAGTCCTATGAGACTCATCCAGCTCCCCTCCCTCTCCCCGGAAGTCAGACATCACTGGGTTTCCAGGGACTGCAGTTCAATAATCCATCTCTAACATTATCCTGAGGTTCTGTCAGAGGGAGGGGACATAAAAGGGCCATGAAAGTAAGGGCATGTCTGCACTGCATTTTAAAACCCCTGGCAATGAGTCTCAAAGCCCGGTTCTACAGACTCGGGCTCACAGGGCTTGTGCTATGCCACTGAAAGCAGCAGTGTAGACGTTCAGGCTCAGGCTCTGAAGCCTGGGGAGGAGGATGGGTTTCAGAGCCCGAGCCGCAACATCTACAGTGCTGCTGTTAGTGCTGCCATGCAAGCCCGAATCTGTAGCCCCAGGCTCTGACACTCACTGCCAGAGGTTTTAAAACACAGTGTCGATGTACCCTAAGAGGCTGAGGTGAGAGAATTTTGTGTCCAAATATGCCAAGAGCAGAATCTCTTGGTAACAGCAGACAGTGCAGCAGCTCCTTAACCATCCTGCTGAATACAGCCTGTATTTAATGGGGAAAATGCCTTTGAAAGCACATTTGTAGACAGCTATCTTGAGTTTCTGATTTGAGCCCTATATAGCCAACAGCTAGTGTCATTCAGAGACATCGTAGAGAGTATGGCACTGGCCATTCCACCAGCTGCTTGGGGAGTCCAGGTGCACTCAGTGTATCCAACTGTAATTCAGAAACTCACTTTCAGGGGAAAGGTGGGTTCTAAAATAAGGTGTCCAGCTTGATCTGTGGAGGGGGCCAGAGTACAGTTTAAGTTATGGACTGTGGACTGGGTCTATGAAGTTAGTGTCAAGGATCTAAACCAGATTGGCCACTGCTGTCCCTAGGAGGCTTGCAAATGATTGAGGGTAGAATATGAACCTTATATGCTAGTTACTGTTGCATTCAGTATTACTCAGTGGGGAAAATGATGCAAGGTACTTTTAGGATCATTTCCTCCCTTCATTTATTTGGTCATTTGTACATGCAGTTATTTAGTATCCCTATATAACTGTGAGCACAAATTAGCTAAATTTGAACATTTAGGTTACTTGGAAATTGTCCCTAGATGATCATTAGGCTTCAGGGTTAACTGTCCACCAAGATGAATTTGGAGCAGTTTATCTCTCTCTTAGAGCTGCTTCAGTCAACGAGAGTGTTATTACATTTTGAAAGTTTATTTTCAAGCCATACGGGCTGGAAATATAACTTTAAAAATATGAAATCTTATTTACTACCGAATCTGATTCTTTCAGGGAGGCTGGATAAATACATTAAGTAGGCCAGGAGTTTGGCACCCCAGGTTTAAAATTTGTTGCTTTCAATCAAAGTCTACAAGTAAGTAGTACAACACTGTGATAATAGCCCAGACTTGTGAACCTTACTTTGGCTTTAAAATTTGGGAGATCTCTGGAAATTTCATCCAAGCTTGGTATGTTGAGTTTATCCATCTTCATCATGAAACATTTTTTACTGTTGGTGATTCTGAGACCTATTAGACCCTACAAGCAAACATCCAAAACGTCAGTAGGAGGCACTTGCAAAAAATAAAGTTTACGATGTTCATTGACCAACAAGATAACCTGTGAAATTTCCCTGGGTAAAAGCTTGCATAGAAGTTGTTTGTTATTTCCCCAGTAGAGATGCCTGGGTTGGTCTTGCCTATGCCCCCAGCAGAGAAGCTGTGCAAAGGTTATGAAAAGTTTTCACAAAGTTTACTGCAAACGCTCTCATCCATTTTAATTTAGGGCCATTTCACAACCTAGAATTTCAGTGGGTGTATGGGGAATAGCCAAATTCTAAACTTTTAGGGCTACATTCTCTGTTCAGCACAGGAGCAGCATAGAGGAAAAGATAGCTTGAAGCCATCTTTACATTCCTCTAATCTTGGAACTTCTGGCATTAGAGAAACCTGGATGCTGCACTAAATTATACCCAGCCCCACAGCTCCAAGGGTCCACTCAGGCAGCTGGGAATGACTGGGGTTTAGGGATCCCTTTTCTTCTGAGAACTCTTCTCCATACACGAGGAGCTTGTGAGTTGGAGAGAAGAGCCGCTATGCTTTAGTCCACCTGCTAATTCCCCCTTACACAAAGGATCAGGGGGCTGGATTGCCTGCTTTGCCTTAGCAGGGTCAAGAATCTGGCCCCAAGCGTCTTGACAGCAACTGGTTTTCATCTGAAAGGAAATTTGTACTTTTGAAAATATCTCTTAGATCGTCAATGAAAAGGAGACTCCTTTTCATTCAGTAGTAGTTTATTTTTGAGCAAAAAATAATGACTTTTTCAAAATTGGCTCATACTTGAAAATTCAAAATGAAATATAAAACCCTTGATGTACGTTTTAGAATAGTTTCAAACTTGTGTTTAACTCTCTCTGAACCACAGACTACTAACTCGATGAACGGGTGTTTAGTTTAACATTGGTTTATCCAGCATTTCTGCCTCCATCTGGGCCCATTCACATAAGGAGTGATGGTGTAATTTTCAGCTCAGTAAAGTTTAAAATTAGTTAGAGAGAAGCTACCTCCTGCTCTGGCAGGTACAGAACATCCTCGTGACTTGGATCAGACCCGTGGTTCTCAAACTTTTTTTTTCGCGGACCACTTGAAAATTGCTGAGGGTCTCGGCGGACCACTTAACGATCTTTCCAAATGTTGTTTGTATCATTAGCTAACTATTGTAAAGCCCTTTGGATAAAAGCGCTATATTAAAAAAAACTTAATAATTAACAGTTTTTTGTTCTACAAATAAAAGCACACAACTCATATGTTAACATCAGTAGTCTTACCTTTCAAATGCGATGGATGTGTCCACTCTCCCCCACTGCGGCAGCCCCCGAGCTGGGGCTGGGAAGGAGGGGGGTCTGTTCCCTGCCACAGCAGTTACAGAGCTGGGGCTGGGAAGGAGGGCCATCTCTCCCTGGCAGCCGCAGCCCTGGAGCTGGGGAAAGTCGCCTCTTTCTCTGGCCGCCGCAGCCCTGCACATCCCAAATTCCTCCCATCCCCTCTTCTCGACCCACTGCCACCTCACACCTACCCCCTATTCCCCCCCAGGCCACCACCTCACTTTACATGTGCGTCTTCTTCAGGGTCCAGGCACCTAATTAGTGGAGCCGCGCCTGCGTGTCTCCACTAATTAGGTGGGTGGCCCTTCATTCTCTCATGTGCAGCTGCCCAGGCATGCACTTTAGAGGGAACTATCCGCGGACCACCTGAATGGAGCTCACGGACCACAGTTTGGGAACCTCTGGATCAGACAAAACCTGCTGAGGATTTCACTTAAGCCTTTAAAAAACTCCATTGGAGAGCTGTGAAAGGAGCTGTGTAGCTAAAGAAAGAAACCTGCATATGCTTATCATTTTGATGTAATTTATTCATCCTCTACTTCTATTATCTACTTCAAAGCCCTAAAGTCAACATGTAAAGGGGGACTGAGACCCAATTTAAAGGATTAACTGAAAGTGACCATAGAAGAGATGTTTCTACATTAACTTTATACGCTGAGAGCTGGCCATGTGCAGCAGTAACTTGGTATGGCTATGCTGAGGTCAGTCACTAGTATTAGTCTGTCATCCACATCTACAACTAGCATTTGGCTGTTGCTGCCTAAATCAAATCTTTGTATGTTTACTTCGATTGTTAGCCCTTTGGGGCACCGACTGTCATTTTGTTCTGTGTTTGTACAGAGCTTCACACAATGAGGTGCTGGTTTGTGACTGGGGCTGCTAAGTGCTACCACAAAACAAATAAATAAAAATGATAATAAATATTGAGACTCTTGTATCATGCATGCTCCAAGGATAGGTTCAGTAATAACAGAATGGGACACCCCCGCCTGGTCTCCCTGCCTAAGTAAAAGCTGCTGTCTCCTGCACCGTAGTCTGGAAGAACATGGAAGAACTTATTCTATTGGGAGGGCTGATCAGAGACCAGATTGGCAAAGATTGCGGTCCTCTGCTGTGATTCCTGGAACAAAGTGGAAAAGGCAGAACTTTCTTGGCACAAGCACAAGTGGCCCTGGCTTGTTGATTATCTGAACTCAACCTTTTCCTCTTTCCAGTACAATCCAGCTCTTCCAGCCCATTTGCTTGCACTTACTTGGTTATAGTTGTACACAACTGTGGCTGTGGATTTCTTTCTTCTGACGTGGAAAGCGGCCACGTTCTCCCGTTCATTTACCATGGCCGTCTGCTCTTCCTCTTCCCCCTTGTTTCCCTGGATGACCATGTCAAGGACCTCAAAGAAACATTCAGGATATGAAATACCATCTGTAGACCCTAGCACATTCGTCAGGGAAGGGTGAAAGTGCAGTGAGCCAAGAGGCTTATTCCAGATACCCATAGCCCCTGAGGGCATGTCTACACAGCAAAGAAAAATCCGTGGCTGGCCCATGCCAGCTGACTCTGGTTTGCGGGCTCGAGCTTCCGGGCTGTTTCATTGCTATGTAGACTTCTGGGCTTGGGCTGGAGCCCAAGCTCTAGGGCCCTGTGGCATGGGAGAGGCCCAAAGCCCCAGAAGTCTACACAGCAATGAAACAGCCCAGAAGCCCAAGGCCCAGGAGCCAAGTCAGCTGGCATAGGAAAGCTGCAGGTTTTTCTTTGCTGTGTAGACGTGCCCTGAGGCAGCGGGGAGTCCACCCATGTACAGAAACGACATGCACATCAGCTTTTTTTTAAAGGCTGCTGATAATGCCAGTTCATTAAGTAGCCCCTTGAGTAACACAGTCTGACCCTGCATGTGCATCCCAGGAGAGAGTTTGGCCCACTGTACTTCACACAAATACAAGAATAAAAATAACAAAGACACCCAGAGGCAAATATAATTTATAGATTCATAGATATTTAGGTCAGAAGGGACCATCATGATCATCTAGTCTGACTTCCTGCACAACGCAGGCCACAGAATTTCACCCACCCACTCCTGCAAAAAAACCTCTCACCTATGTCTGAGCTACTGAAGTCCTCAATTCATGGTTTAAAGACTTCAAGGAGCAGAGAATCCTCCAGCAAGTGACCTGTGCCCCATGCTACAGAGAAAGGCGAAAAACCTCCAGGGCCTCTTCCAATCTGCCCTGGAGGAAAATTCCTTCCCGACCCCAAATATGGCGATCAGCTAAACCCTGAGCATATGGGCAAGATTCACCAGCCAGATACTACAGAAAATTCTTTCCTGGGTAACTCAGATCCCACCCCATCTAACATCCCATCACAGGCCATTGGGCCTATTTACCATGAATATTTAATTACCAAAACCATATTATCCCATCATACCATCTCCTCCATAAACTTATCGAGTTTAATCTTAAAGCCAGATAGATCTTTTGCCCCCACTGCTTCCCTTGGAAGGCTGTTCCAAAACTTCAGTGGGGTTGCAAAATTATAGCCGGAAGCCAGATTTTACCCTCTGTGCCGACAGGGTTTCTGTTGAGTTTAGCAGGAGCTATGACTGAATCAGGGGGCTTACTATGCCAACAGGGGGTGAATTTTCAAAGTGGTGCACCAGGCTGCCCACTCTTACTGCGAATGGCTAAATTCCCCAGGCACTGAGCTGGATTTACCTTAGTTTACTTCTTAACTGTGCTACAACACTTATTACAACCAAGAACTGCTATAAAATTGCACATACTGTGTGTGTAAATACAGGAAAGTACCTACTTTCAAAGGAAGTTCTCGATGTAACTTCTAAAGTAAAGGCATGATCTGTATACACAGTGCTGGCGGATTAGAATGACACATGCAAACTGCAAGGAACCCATAGCTAAATCACCCACTGAGGGACAAGTTGGAGAAGTCCTTGCCTTGATATGAATATATATCAGAGCCCTTTCAGACACATTTTGAGGTTTATAAACCTGATCTTAAGAATAGTGCCTTGATGTCATGATGATTTCTAGATCATTATGTCATGCTGTCTGAAATGGACAGTTTGAGCTGGTAAGGTGAAAACTTTGCATGTAAGAATGATTGATAGAATTTGTAAATGTGCATTAGGGACAGAAATGCAAGTTTGTGCCAGGTCTGGTATCTCAGAGAACAGTTTGTGGCTGAAATTGCCGGACATGTATCAGAGGCATGTTGCACAAACAGTGGCGGCATAAGCTTCCCACTGGCTGCTCTGCTTACCTTTTCTGTGTGTTTGTGGGTCAGGTAAACTCCCACCAAAGTGCCGGCAACTATGAAGAAGCCCAGGAGAATCACCATCACTGAGGCAAGCATGATTCTCTGTTGGGTTGTGCTCACTTTGGGCATGAAGCTGTAAACCTGAAGAGAAATAAATGTCCCGGGTTATTGATAATTCTCAGTTACAAAGTGTGTCTGGTGGTGAAAACATCAGAAATAGGAGACGTGTTCCTGGTAAAGTCTTGACTAAATGGTTTGATCTTGCAAACTCTTATTCAGATAAGTAGTTCTCAGTCACACTACTCCAGCTGACTTTGGCGGGACTACGTAAAGTTTTAAAGCATTAGGCCCTAAATGAGGGGAATAAAACTGGAGAGAGGTAGCAAAAGCAAAAACTAAACATTCCTCCCCCAAAACCATCTTGTTTACAGAGCTGAATTTGCAGTATGTTCTCTAGCCTCACTTTAAATGGCGCCATGCTCAAGTCAGAACATAGAACAGGCTGTGCATTCAGTCAGGATAAGCATCTTCTGGGTGTCCATGCCAAGGGCTTTCCCAGGCCAGAGGGGGCTGGGTGCTGACCGAAGGCAGCGGTGTATTTTATAGAAAGGTATTTAAATGTTAAAGTTTAATTTCTAGTGAAGATATTTAGAATGTGTGCAGACTGGTGAAAACCAGCCCTCATTTAAATCATGCATTTTTAAATATTACACATTTTAGACAGTTTTTAAAATTGAAGTCCCCATTTCAGCCCTGCGTCACCTTGCTGAGCTGACATGCTGCCAATGCTCTTCCCTACCGTCATGAAGGGCATCTTAGATTTAATCCATACCTTGAAATGTTCAGAGTTTGCTTCAGCCCAGACTTCCCCCAGCTGCTCCCCAAGGGCCCTCTCATTCACCCCACCTGTCCTCTTTCCACCCACCTGTATTGATTTACCCACCACCTGGACATTTTTTTTGCACAGAGCTGGCCCCAAATCATCTTCTCTAAGCCTAGGGACAAGATCCCGCACCCCCTGTTTCTGGTAAGGGTAAATACCATTGTCCTGGTTTAGCAATTGGGAGACATTAATTGGGGAATGTGCTTTCTTTGAATCATGTTGAATGCAGGCTGTTTAAAAACATGGCCAGGGGACAGAGACTGCAGTCTCCTATCCAATCTAGGCGTGTGACATCAAGCTGATTCATTTGAGACAAATACACTCTGCACATAACTCTTTCTTTGATCAAATGACTAGCTAATAGGCATTGATTAAATATTTCTGGGAGACACATGCTACCAAACAGGGGGTCTCCCATTCCTTCTAACCAAAAATTACGTTACTTACAAGTGGCTGAGCAGGCACGGTGAGCTCGGTAGTGCTTTTGCAATCCATCTTTTTCGTCCCTCACTGTAAATCCAAGGCAGCTGTTTTCCCTCCCAGGAGCCCTCCCATGCTTTTATAAAGTGTCCAGGGATCCAGTGTTCTTTTTCCCCCTATGATTTTTAAAGCCCTGAACTTCCTTGTTATTGCTGCAGGAATTTTTCATGATTGTCCAAACATGATAATAGAAATGAACCATTATAAAACTATCAAATTTATTACTAACAGGGCCTCATAAAATCATCTCTTGTCTGGGAACTGGGAAGGTTTTAAAAAAGCAGCTGGAATCACATTTTGGATATAAATTCTGCTGAACTTTAAAATGTGTGTTTAAAGGAGAGGAGGCTTCTGGCATGGTATTCTCCAGGAGGGGTCTTTAACAGAGAATCCGGTTCCCCCTTGGTTCAATCAGTCTGGATTGAACTTCTCAGGTCCACTAAAACTGACCTTCCTAAATTAGTTCCAGAAGACTGGAAGAAAGCTAATATGGTGTCAATATTTTAAAAGGCCAAATGGGATGACCCAGGTGATTATAGGCTGACATCAGTTCTCGGCAAAATAATGAAGCAGCTGCTACAGGACTTGATTAATAAAGAATTAAAGGAGGGTAATATAGTTAATGCCAATCAATGTGGGTATATGGAAAATATGTACGTCAACATGGGTATACATCAAACTAACTTGTAAGGTGAATAAAAAGATACCAAGTTTGGTTGATAAAAGTAATAGTGTTGATGTAATATACTTAGACTTCTGTAAGGCATTTGACTTGGTACTGCACAACATTTTGATTAATCAAAGCTATATGATATAAAATTAACATACCACACATTAAATGGATTCAAAGCTGGCTCACTGATAGGTCTTAAAATGTCATTGTAAATGGGGACTCATCATTGACTGGGTATGTTTCTAGTGGGGTTCCACAAAGATATGTTTTTGGCCCTATGGTATTCAATATGTTTTTCAATCACCTGGAAGAAAACAAAAATTCATCCCTGATAAAGTTTGCGGGTGACACAAAAATTGGGGGAGTGATAAATAAAGAAGAAGACAGGTCACTAATACAGAGCGTTTTGGATCCAGGGCCACCCGGGGTGTGGGGGGGCAAGTTGGGCAATTTGCCCTGGGCCCCAGGGGCCCCCACGAGAGTTTTCGGCGGTGGGTCCCGTAGTGAAGGACCCACCGCCGAAGACCCGTCACCGCTTCTTCCGCTCCGGGTCTTCGGCGGCAATTCAGCAGCGGGGGTCCTTCTGCTCCATGTCTTCAGCACCTATGATGACGGCTGTCCTTACGTGATGGGGGACTTTATCTTGGCAGTGACTCTGAAAAAGATTTGTGGGGGGAGTGGTGATAATTGGCTGAGCTCCCAGCGCAACTCTTTGGCAACTCTGTGACCAAAAAGGCTCATGCAATGCTTGAATGCATAAACGGGATTCTCGAATAGGAGTAGAGAGGTTATTTTACCTCTGTATTTGGCACTGGTGTGACTGCTGCTGGAATAGTGTGTCTAGCTCCGGAGTGTACAATTCAAGAAGGATGTTGAGCAATTGGAGAGGGTTCAGAGAAGAACAAGAAGAATGATTAAAGGGTTAGAAAACATGTCTTATGATGATAGACTAAAGGAGCTCAGTCTGTTTAGGCTAACAAGGAGAAGGTTAAGGGGTGACATGATTGCAGTCTATGAGAACCTACATGAAGAGCAAATACTAAATAATGGGCTTCTCAATTTAGCAGAGGAAGGTGTAACACAGTCCAATGACTGGAAGTTGAAGCTAGACAAATTCAGACTGGAAATAGGGCACACATTTTTAACAATGAGGTTAATTAACCATTGGAACAATTTACCAAGGGTCGTGGTGGAGTTTCCATCACTGATAATTTTTAAATCAAGGTTGGATGTTTTTCTAAAAGCTCTGCTCTAGGAATTGTTTTGCGGCAGTTCCCTGGCCTGTGTCATACAGGAGGTCAGACTTGATGATCACAATGATCCCTTCTGGCCTTGGAATCTGTGCGCCTGTGAAATCTGTCCTACTGGTCACTAGCATAATTTTTCTAGAGGAATGTGGCTATTGTGGGAGATTGTGGTTGTGATGTGCGAATCACTCTGCTTTCCTTTCACCCCTTTGCTCTGCTTCATCCCTTCCATTATGCTACCCTCCTACATCTGCATCACTTCCCCAGTCCTCATCTACCAGGTGCCATGCCTCACCTCCTTCAAATCCTGCCTTCCCTGCACCTCTTCAGTAAATCCCTCTTTTACTTCCCCAGTAACACCCCACGCCCTCCTATCCCTGTACTGTCCAGTGCTGTTTCATGTGTATTTGTGTTTGGAGATGGTAAACTCTTCAGAGTAAGGAATATGCTGTGTCTACACTTGCAAAGTGCTTTGTTAATTAACAGTGCTCAGTAGCAGGTCCTCTGGTTACGAATGAGTCAAAACGACCGGTCAATTGCTGACACAAGCATGTGCTAAAAAAAGGGCCTCCTCCTATTGAAGTGAGTAGTAATTCTGCCACTGACCTCAATGGGAGTAGAACTGGGTCTTGTGGATGTTCCTCTTCATGGCTACCTGGCTCTTCAAATTGTTTCTATATAGGGCTTGTCTACACAGCAACGTTAATTTGGATTAAGGTAGGTATAAATGTAGAGTGTAAATGTCAACAGATTAACTCTTTGTGGATGCTCTTATTCCAGAATAAGGTTGCTTTATTCCAAATTATCTTCTCCCATTTTTAAAGTGGCTTAAGCTATTTGGAATAAGAACATCATCGGCATGGAAGCATGTCTTTTGGAAGGTGGCCGAAGCATATGAATGTTTAGCATATCTGGCACGTAAATACTGTGCAATACTACAAAAGTGCCATGCAAACGCCTGTTCCCACTTTCAGGTGACATTGTAAATAAGAAGTGGGCAGCATTATGTCCCGTAAATCTAAACAAACTTGTTTGTCATAGCGCTTGGCTGAACAAGAAGTAGGACTGAGTAGACTTGTAGGCTCTAAAGTTTTCCATTGTTCTGTTTTTTTCAGTGCAGTTATGTAACAAAAAAAATCCTACATTTGTAAGTTGCACTTTCATGATAAAGAGATTGCACTACAGTACTTGTATGAGGTGAATTGAAAAATACAATTTCTTTATCTTTTTACAGTGCAAATACTTATAATAAAAATAATAAGATAAAGTGAGCACTGTGCACTTTGTACTCTGTATAGTAGTTGAAATCAATATATTTGAAAATGTAGAAAAACATCCAAAAATATTAAATAAATTTCAATTGGTATTCTATTGTTTAACAGTCCGACTAAAACTGCGATTAATCGTGATTAATTTTTTGAATCACGATTAATTTTTTTGAGTTAATCACGTGAGGTAACTGCAATTAATCATCAGCCCTAATATATATATATATATATACAAATTTGATCAAACCAATAATTAATACCTGGAAACATACTACTGAACTGTCTCAGACCAACACAAGAGGACAGTTAAAGAACCAGTCTAATGATTCAACATTAAATAGCCACATTGTCATTCATAATGCTTCTTTTCTCATAATATTGTCCTTTTGTAAGTGAAGCTTACGTTGGTTTTTTTCACTTTTGTTCAAACTGTTCAATTCTATGTTTGCTCATGAAAGTGGGAAGATGTCACTAAACCTATCCACTCTCAAGGCACTACTGGGAGGCAAAGTGACAAATTCACGCTACAAGATTTGGGGAAAGACCATAGAGAAACTTTAACACTGTCTTACTCTTGGTATAAAACACAGCTGATTGGCACAGCTCTGACACACTGTGTTTCTGGCAGAACAAAGCATAGAGCCTCCTGTTTAGATCACGAGCATCAGGATCAGGTTTACTTCTTAAGAATATTCAGAGTCACTAGAACCACGATTTCCCTGGTAACTGCTCACTTCATCCCACCATCATCCTGCCCATTTGGACTTTGTAATTGTTTTTTGCAGTTGCACCTCCACCTGTCTTTTAGCCAGGGCAGTGCTTCTCATTTGTGAGATCCTGCTCTGTCTGTGCCTCCCTTGTGTGTCCCCTTCTGTCCCCTCACAATCTTCCTCCTCCTGTCTCTCTTGGCTTTTCACCTGGTCCTGAAATCAAGGCCCCGGCACGGCAAGATGAGACCGCCCATCCAGTCTCTTCACCTGAGAAGGACCAGTGAAGGAGAGGGACCTGCCTAGACCATCCAGACCAGGGGTGGCCAACCTGGGGCTCCGAAGCCACATGTGGCTCTTCAGAAGTTAATATGCGGCTCCTTGTCTAGGCACCAACTCCGGGGCTGGAGCTACAGGTGCCAACTTTCCAATATGCCGGGGGGTGCTCACTGCTCAACCCCTGGCTTTTCCACAGGCCCGGTCCCCATTCCACCCCTTTCTGCCCGTTCCCCTGAGCCTGCCATGCCCTTGCTCCTCCCCTCCCACCCAGAGCCTCCAGCACGCCACTAAACAGCTGATGGGGAGGGAGGGGGAGGTACCGACTGGTGGGGCTGCCGGTGGGTGGGAGGCGCTGGAAGCGGGGGCGGGACCTGATGGGGGGCTGCTGACGTGTTACTGTGGCTCTTTGGCAATGCATATTGGTAAATTCTGGCTCCTTCTCAGGCTCAGGTTGGCCACCCTGATCCAGACGATGTCCCTGACTGGGGAGCTGAACCAGTGTCCAGAGCAACAGCTATCATGGCCAGCCTCCTGGCCCAAGCATCAGTCCATGACTGACCAGCTGCCCCGGATCCTGAGAAGATCAACAAAAGCCATATTACCCCATCGTTTACTGTCGGATCGCCTCTCTCCCTTTTATATGTACTGAGTCATTCCCCACTCAGAATCAAACGACTAAACAAACCCTTTCTTCCCCATCAAAAAGGCCTGCTTAACAGAATAAGGGGCTTAAACAAATATTCCCTGTCTCAAAAAGAAATTTGGATAAGGTTTGTGTGTTTGGCATAATTGCTCAATTTCAGTTTTAATGCTTTTTGCCTTGTGTTGAGTCTTTTCCCTTTGTGTGTCTCAGTCAATACATTTCTAAGCTTTGGCATTTATTTCCTAGTGTGTTTGTCCTTGCACCAAGAAGGCTGAGATCTCTGTAGCTGGAGCCCTTGTTTAACCCTGTTACTGTTGGACAGTGAGTTGGCTATGTTAACACCTTTGATTTTTAGGGGCCATATAGTCCATCAAAATCGATATAACACCTCCCAAGTAAAAACATTTGCTTATCCACATTTTATGGATTTCCTTATCTGTGTAGTATATTACAGGAAGCAAGTAATTCAGTACCTACACACATTAACTGGATTATCACCTTATCTGAATTAGTTAGTACTTGCCGAAAACTCTTGGGAACAAAAGCACATAGCGGAACTGCACTGCAAGCAGCGAGCATCAGATACACAAAATGGCTCCTGGATTTCCCCACGTCGCCATCATGAACAGCAGAGATTAGAGGCGCCTGGATCCCCCTACAGATGCTGGCCTGGGAAAGGCCACGAAGGGGGAAGCACTTTTATTATGCATTTGAGAATGAAGTTTTTAATTATGAGTTTGGATCTGCTGGGAAAACATTTCCTCCTACTGCACCCAAACCCTCCCCTAGCTTCCTGTCTGTGCCCAAAGCCAGCACAAACTTTCCCTTCTGAGGCAACTCCCAAGAAGCTTCCTGACCCTTCCCTCAGTCTCAGGCCTACCCTATCCAGGAGAGGTTCTTCCTCTGGAGCATCTGGGGGCTGTGCTCCAGTCAAAAAGACCAGAAATCATCATTAATGACACCAGAATTCTGGAGGGGCTGTTAACCCTTGTGAGTCAGGTTTAAGCCAATCCCTCACTATTAGAGATCAGGATGAGACCCATTGTGGAGACCGATTACCCCACGTCTGCTACTGTGTGCCATCTTTTGAAGCATCTGGTACTTGCCACAGTCAGAAACAGGATACTGAGCTAGAGGGACCTTGGGTCTCATCCCATCTGGCAATTCCTATGTTCCTAAAATAAAATCAAAAGGAACTAAATGTACCTCCCCCCCTATGCTATGTGCTATTCCCAGCTGTTAAATTAACAGAGCTGCTCTGTGGCTATGTGACTGATCCACGCAGGGCAGCACTGGGGTGCCCAGAATGGACACGACACACATGTAAAATACTACGTGTTTGATTGTGTCTCCCTCTACTGGCTGTCCACAAAAAGAACAAAAGCTTCCTACTCCTACCAGCTTAGGGAGTTACTCCGCAGGAGAGGGTTGACAGCACATTGAAAAGTTCTTTATTCAATGACTGCATGTATCACAAAGGTTGTAGCATGTATAGCTAAGATAAAAGGGTTGAGAGCCTTCAGATCCAGGACTAATATACAGACAGGTTTGTTATAAGTGCATTCTAGTACTTCTGTGCTTCTTCAGGAAGGACAGAACGCTCTAGCGGCCAAAACCGATGTAAATGGTGATTCCCCAGAAGTGCACATAGATGCTCCATCTACGCTTCTGTGAGCTCTGGAAAATCGAAAAAAGGCATTTATATTCATTTTGCCATGTGTTTGCTTTCCCCAGTTCCTCCATGTTAACTCCATGAGGGGTTTCAGTAGCTGACTTTGCTCGTTTTGGTCAAATCATCTTGAAAATCCATATCATCTCACAACTAAACAATGTTTCAGATGAGGAAGCCTAACACATGGCTTTCATGTATTTGGTTTTAAAGAAGAGGTACTGACACGAAGGGTGGGAAATTCAACCCATTGTGGATGAGTCATACAATAGAACCTCCATTTTATGAACATCAGTCTTGTGAATGATCAGTTATAGGAACCATTTATCCCAATGAAAAAATATACAAAAAAGAAAAAAAGTCACAAAGTGACGTCAGTGAAGAATAAGTGGGCGTCACTTCACAATCCAACACTTTTATAGCACTGGAAATTGTTTTGGAGTGGTTTAAAGAACCAGAAGAAAGCAATGCACTGTACCACTCTGCAACTTGTGCACCATACCTACTATTCAATTTTATGAACTTGTAGATTTTTATAAACTCCTCAACACCAGTTACTTCATGAAATAAGGGTTCTATTGAGTTACCCTACCAACATGTAAATTGGGGGTGCAACTATGAACTTCCAAAAGACTAAGATGGCAAAAGTTGTGGCAATTGCCCAGTGAGGAAGGCCCACTCTGAGCACATCTGTGGTAGAAGATGGGGGTTGGTGCTTTCCTCTGGACTCTGATTACTTGGTAAGGGATGGACTTTTATGGCCTAGGGTCACCTCAGCACCTACACTGTGTTGAAGGCCAAAAGACCCATCAGAGATGAGGGGGAACTGAGGCTTGGAGTCTGCAATGCCAGGCCATGAGGGGGTGCTCTTGGACTGCAAAAACAGTAGGGAAATGCAAGTGATTGTTATCTTCCTTCCAAAGGGTTCAGCGTACAGAACTCTAGCTGGTGGGAGGGTCACCATGAGGATGTAGGAAGAAAACAATAAAGTGAGAGAAAATGGCAGCAGGGCCCTGTAGATTCTCCTTCCCAGAGGCACTGGCCTCTTTTGCTTCAACTCACAGCATCATGCTGAATCTTTCTCAGAGAATACAGGACAGGAATGAGCCCTGTGACTCCATCCTTTCCTGAGCTGTGGATGTGTCATGTTGTCCCTTACTACACACCCCTCAGTAACTCATGTCATCGCTGACGTAATGTTTGAAACAGAGGGCTCCGACCCCAGCCCAGTAGATGGGGATGTCGCTGCAGAGAATGTTCAGAGTCGTTCCCAGCGCTGTGCGGTTGGCCAGTTGACCCTCACTGAAGGTGTAGGACAAGCTGTCTTCTCCAGGGCCCTGCTGGGAAACAAGGCAAAACTGTTTGCATTCGTATAAAACTGAAATTAAATTTAAGGGAGGAAAAAAGGGAAATATTCCAGCTCTGATTGGAGCTGCCTGCTCCCAGAAACACGCTGGGAACTGTATCAGTTCTTCCATTTTTGTCAGTGAAAATCCCTTTTAGAGAATCACCTCTCTCTGACACCGCAGAGGGTGTTCTGTGTCAGGCTAGTCAATCTCTCCTTCCCTGGCCAAGCTGGCTCCCCCTTCTGCTCCACTTACCTGTGTGTCAAAGTTCTCGATTTTCTGGGTAATTTCAGCCAGGCTGAACACTCCCTTCTGTCCTGTACCCGGAGGCCAATGAGACCCTGGAAGGCAATGGGGAGAGAGGCTGGCTGCACAAGTGACAGGACACTCAGGCATTCAGTGCCTGAACCCACAGCCCATTGTACATCAGTGTGTGTGAAATGGGTTCAGGTGTTCCAGTCCAGAGAGCGGGAGGAGTGTGCAGATCAGCAGCATAGCTGGCAATCAGCTATTACAGCACCACAGTAGAGGCTTTGGGAGCTTTAATGTGAAAGACGTAACAGGGTGGCCTGCCTCTGTAAGAGTTGGGGGCCTGCATGTGGCCAGCCCTCTCCAGTTAGCCTGCCTGCTATACCTTAATTAGTTGAAGCAGCTTGGTACAGAGGAGCTGATTCCCCCATAAAGAGCAGCTGGAAGCTGCAGAGAGGGGGATGCACAGGGAGACACACAACCATGGAGACTGCTGGGAGTGTCTAGACTCCATCAGGGGGCCCTGAGTTTCAGGGGAAAGGCCCCAGGCAGGGAAGGCCTGGGAGACCCCAGAGGGAAAGACTGGAAGTACTTCATGCAAATTGGAGAACTTTATATGGGGATACTTTTGTTACTTTGTTACCTCCAGCCCAAGGAGGGGGTTGGCTTAGCCAAAGAAGCGTTGTTTAGTAGTTTAATTTAAGGGACCCTGAGCTGAAAAAGAAGGAAACTGAGGCAGGGTGCCTGCAGAGCAATCTCAGGCCATGAGGTGGTGCTCAGGAGGCAGCCAGCCCATCCACCAAAGGCTAGTCCAAGGGCACCAAATGTATGGCCCATGGGCCAGCTCCAGCTCCCAGGACCCAGAGCTCATTCTTTCAGGGCATGTGGCCCATAGCCCTGAGGGGGCATGGCTGAGGAGAGCTTGTGTCTGACTGGCCACAGGCAACTGAGCCCTCTCCCCTCCTGAGCGGTTGCCACCAGCGGCCCCACAGCCTGAGCTCAAAGAGGAGGTTCCTTCCCTACCCATCACCCTCCTTGTTCCCGTGGCTGCCAGGCCCCACAGCACCAGACTGAGGAGAGCAGCTGCTGATCTGCCTCCACCACTGCTTCATGCTGCTCTCAGCAGCCCAGCTGCAGGGAAGAGTCTCCTCCCTCACTCCCGCCGGCCACCATTGAGCCCTGTGCGCCAGCACCCAAAGGTGGGGGAAGCTACTGCCTGGAGGGGAAATGGAAGAGGACGCCAAAGGAAGCTGGTTAAGAGAGAAAGGGGCTTGGGGAAGGAGGCATGTGCCAAGGGGGGCTGAGCTGTGCGAATTCCCACGGGGTGGGAGTGGGGCGGAGGACAGAAAGTGCCCAAGGGGTAAGGGACTGAGGGAAGGAAAATCACAAGAAGCTGGAGCGGCATGGGGACCAGCCATAGTCACAAGAAGCTGGAGAGGGTGGGGACTGGCCATAGTGGAGAAACACAGAGCTCAGTTAATGGACAGAGTAAGGGCGGCTGTCTATTGGCTTTAAATGCAGTATTTAATTTCACTAACAAAAGGGGCGTGTTGTGCAGTTAGTGAAAATGAAAATTTGCCTGTTATCAATGGTGGTCTCACCTTTGCAGGGCTCCCCAGACTCTAACTGGAAGGGTAAGTGGGCCCTCACTGCAGAATTTATTTGACACCCCCTGCACTAGGCAATGAGGAAAAGAAGCCTGATATCTGCTGAATAGGCTCCTTGCTGTGATGTCTGCACAGTCTCGGCCCAGCTGCTAATGGACAGAGAAGCCTGTGTCACAGTAAAACTGTTATCACCAGTGACCCTCTTCTTGGCAGTCCCAGGGGTTTGTGACTGTCACTAGCAGATGTGCCCGTGTGATTCTTGCAGTGTCAAATCCCCTCACCTGTGGGGAGTCCTGCTGTGTGGACAGCGGTGCACATACGCTCTACTGAAAGGAATACATCAGACTGGTTCATGTACATGTGTTTCCTCTGGAGTCTGGACCTGCTGCATGGCTGCCTCATTTACACAGGCATCTTAAGCTCTACACCCCAGAGCTAACTGCAGGATTGATTTTAGAATGACAGCGGTGATTATTCTTGGTCTAAGTGGGGACTGAACTTAGCACCTCTGGATCTAAAGCCATAAGCCTCTGCTTAGTTGAGGCTACTAGCTGAGCAAAAGAACCGTCTTTATTAGCTTAGAGGCAGTTGTGGACTTATGACCTATTATATGTGATCTAGCCACTGTGGAGAAAGCAGCACATCATGTAAGCTCTTGTTCTGGTTTCTGTCCTGACCTGCCTCATGTGCCAGGCATTTCTAAGG